GGTTTCTTTTATAATAGTCTCGAAAAAAATCCTTCATATATGGACATATCCTATATCTGATGATGTTTAATTAAATACAATGATATATGAGATCTTCTCAATCTCATATAAAATTATTATGTATACTTAGATATAGAATTTGAGCATATATAAAGGANAAATAATAATTTAGAATTAAATAATCGATTATGTTTCATATCTCTATCATTAAAATTTTTGAGAAGAATAAATTATTCTGCATGAGTAGTAATCGCACTGATTTTTCACTATATCTTCACTCTCTACGTATAATCTTGTAACTCCAAAACGCAAATTTTAGAGGAGAGCAGTTTAAAAGTTTAAAGGTTCATATAGTTTTTCTAGTTAAGGGATCTTTCGGTTTTAAATTTTTACTTTATGAATATTTTTTTCAATATTTGGTGACCATAACGAACATAACTTTTTAAGCGTCACCATGCAATAAACTGAAAATCCGGTATGTGACACTTATGTAATTATACGTAGGGAGTGACGATTCTTTTTTGATGAAATTTCCATTTATTTGTATATTGTAATATTTCTTTTATATATGTGCTTTTTTTTATTGTTTTTATATATATTTTTTTAATATTTTTTTAAATATATATATTTATCTGTATTTTCTACATCTCTACTTTCATATTTCTATATCAATTTCTCTTAAAGAACCGATATAGAATATTTTTTGAAGACTTATGTTCTTTTGTACTTCTATATCAATTTCTCTTAAAGTACTGATATAGAATCTTTTTTTAAAGACTTATATTCTTTATATCTTTTTTCTACATCCACTTTTATATTTCTATATCAATTTCTCTTAAAGAACCGATATAGAATTTGTTTTCGAGACTTCTATATCACTTTCTCTTAAAGAACCGATATAGAATTGTTTTTTGGAGACTTATGCTCCTTATATTTATTCTCTACATTTATTCTCTTCTAGTTTATTTTTGCAAAAATATATATTTAAATGTATATTTGAAATATATGTATTTAAATATATATTTTTTCTTTTCTTTTATTCTATCTCATCTATAAATACATGGTAGGCTTTATCAAATGGGTACATACTTTCTTTAAATCAAATAAAATATAAAAACTCGGTCGCGAAAGTAAAATAAATTTAAAATAATACTTTTTAATTTTAAAACAATTGCCCCTTGCGTAAAATATTTGATAGGTTTTAAAACTTTTCAAAGTAAATAGGTAGGTAGGTAGTTATCTGTGTATAGGTAGGGATGCGTATCTACAAGCGTTTGTAGAAAATAAATTAGGCCGGATAAATAAGAAATATGTTAGATCGGAGGTAGGTAGGTAGAAGAAATAAANATGTACAATTAGGATCAAGGCTGTTATGCAGCCTTAATCCTAATTAATGAGGCTAGTAACATTTAAGATATGTCAGATGTTTAAGATAGGTAGGTAGGATTATATATAACTATGTATATTGTATATAATGTTGTATTATATTGTATGTTATATGTAATATATGTAAACTATTGTATTCTATTATAATGTATAACAAATTGTAAAATGAAACTTGAAAATTGAAAACACAATGATAAAGAATTGTAATAAAGCAAAGTAATAGATATCCTTTTGGGAATTGCAACTTCTCAGACATATATATTTGTGTACCGGCAAATTACTTTTGTGTAATATACATGTCTTTTTGTGTAATTTGTATTTATACGTATATATGTAGTTTTTGAGAAAATAAAATAAAATTTATAAAGCACAGAGCAGCAAATGATGTAAAGGAGATTATATTTACTACACTCCACGAATTCTGATGTTGCTCGCTAAAATAAGATTCTTTTCTTGACTATCACATCTTTTCTTGTATATCGCATTTATGTTGTACGAAAAGTTGCAATGGTTTTTCTTATCCTTTTCTGTTTTCCTTTCTCATCTTCTCATCGCGAGATCGGTCATTTTAAATTTAAAAAAAAATCAAATTCACGCTCTCGAATATACTCACACACTTAAAGAAAGTGACCATTTAAACTCGTGCACATAGCACAGAATAGAACCGCACGCTGTGGACATAGCGCATCGACATGTCGCTCGGGGAATGGCTGCGTAGTTCCAATGTGTACCACCCGCGGACATGCGCTAGTTTACGGGGCGGAAAAGTGATTACACATTTTCTTATGGACCTGGCCGCTCTCAGGGTTCTCTCTGGTAGTATATTGTTGATGTCTAATCCTCTTGTTTGGTCGTTAGTGGCAATACTGGCAATCTATAGGTTCACGTGACTTATACTATAGATTTTTAGATTCAGTAATAACTGAACTGGGGAGTATGTTCCAAACGTGGAAAATGGCGACGAGTGTGTTTTCAGGTTTTGGAAAGCATTAAGGTGCGGTTTTTGCGTTCGCGCGAGTACAATAGCCAAGTACGACGTGGTGTTCTTGTGGGACAATATCTCGTCTGTGAACAAGGAAGAGCAAAAACAATCGACCGAATCCGCGCATCATTCAGCGTGTCTCCCACGATCCTCGGCAGTCTGATATATCCATCAACTGCCAAATATTTGGATGTGCGCGTAGTGTTTTTGCATGACGTGTTGCAAAATCGCGAATTACACGTAATAACGAAAGCTTTACGAAAACCGCTTCGCTCCAATGAAATGTAGCACATTTTTATTCAACAAAGAGAGAGCTTGGCACAGACATGGAGAATTTGGAAGCGTTGGGTTGGTGAGTGGAAATGTTACTTATTGTTTCACCTGCTCAAACTGACACACGCAATATAAAACTGCTTTCTCTTTTGTTCCAAAGATTGAATATAATTTATGTGACTGTGATATGATATTTCTCTGATGATGTGTAATTACATAATTTTCTTTATTAGGTACCTGTCTGAACACGGTTATAACATAGCAACCGATTCTGGAAATATAGTAGATACACAGAGGATAATAAAGCGATTGCTAGATGTACGTATACCATGCCAATAAGTTCTGTATGCAGATAAGCTTAAAGTTCATATTGTACAGTGATGCAAGTTATGAAATAAAGATGCATTTAAGTACAAAAATTGAAAATTACTTGCAGCTTGATTTGAGAGAAATTGGTAGTGGAAATGGAGACATCAATCAGGGCAATATTGTTCTGCAAATACAAAAAATACGCAATGTTTCTGCGCCCAAGGGAAACGAGGAATCTAAAGCAGCTCCACGAATGTTAAAACTGTCGCTGACTGATGGAAAAAATAATTTTCAAGCCTTAGAACTAGAACATATATCAGGCTTAAGGTAAGCATGTGGAAAGCGCATTATTTTGTCAAATAACCTCTATCTGTATTTTTGTCATCAATATTTTATGCTATTGTAGTTTAAATACACCACCTGGTACAAAGATATTAATAAAGTCCGGGACTTTAGTCACGTCACATGGACTTCTATTGTTGACGCCATCGTACATGGTTCAAGTACTTGGCGGAAAAGTCGCAGCTCTGGTAGAAAAATGGGAGTTAAACAAGGTGAACGATGTTTGACACAAAACTGTCTCGGTCTGTGTGTGATAACAATTTTTTAATGCAAAAATTTTATTATACAGAAATTAGCCTCTCACACTCGTGTAAGGTCCGCTGAAGAAGGTGGGCCACCACCGTGGATACCGTTTGGCAAAAAGATTGTAAAGGTTTCTGAGCAAGACAAAAACTTCAAAGCCCTGGCGGAGAAGGAAAAGAGTAGCAAAGAAAATACCGAGTTCGAGACGCAGCGTAAGGACGCGATAGCAGAGGCCGCCAAGCAGGGCAGTAGAAAAGTATTTGGCGGCGGAAATAAACAGGTTCGATTTTGCAAGATACACTTCTGTTAATTGAAAAAAAAAAAAAAAAAAGAAACGCTCTTACTAACGTGCAAAGGAGACGGGAGCTTTTACGTACGTCTTTTTTTTCTGTAGCTGTTAGATCATAGTGTGCAGAAGATTGTAGATCGAGGATTCACCATAGAACAAGCTGAATACGCCTTGAGACTTAATAAAAATAACGTAGACAAAGCTTTGAAAAATTTGCAGAGAAATGATAACAAACATAAGTGAGTAACTTCTGAATTTTTCTTTTGTCTTCCCTCACTCGAAGTTAACGTCGAGATGAACAAATTTTAATTTTTTCGCGCCAGCTCAAAGGAGTCTCGAGAACCGCGGGAACCGCGCGGTAAACGATTCGAGAAAAAAAGCGAAGAAAGTAAGCCCAGCAGTGGGAAAATATCTCTCTTCGATTTTCTCGAGGATAAGTTGCCGGTGCAACTCGAAAATAACGAAACTACCGCTTCGCAAAATAATTACGCACAGAATTACGAGAACGGTCAGGAACGTCTCGAATCGAGAGGTATCGATGGCCCAAGTGGGAGAGGCGCACGGTGTGTATTCCATAGAATATTCTAATATCTACTGATATTTTTTATATAAAATAAATTAAGTGACACACGCAAGTTGCATATTGGCAACTTTTCTGATATCGATTGTTTGGGTTCAGCGGGAATCAAAGAGGAGGTCGCGGATACAATGTTCCCCCGAGGCATTCGGAAGAGCACAAGAACAAGAGAGGAAATTCCGCGTATTCCCATTACAACGGGGCGAGTCACGTGCAGCAGAACAAACCGCCAAGATTTCAACGCAATCAGGAGCAGCTGCAGCATCAGTATCAGCACGACGGTGAGAACAGAGAAGCTCATCAGAAATCGAACGAATACAGAAACGCCTTTGCTCAGCCGCGCGCGAGCATCATGAATGCCAATGACAATGTTAACGAGAACTATAACAAAAGTCAGACCGATATGATACAGGGGAAGAATCTCGGTAACAGAAATTACAATCACATCGAGCCCGAGCCGAGAAATAGGCATTCTTATGACGCTTCTTATGGTAGGAATAACCGATCGCAACTAAACGGAGCCGCTAAACTATACTCGTCTAATGCAAATGAGCAGGGTTTCAAGAACCAATCCAAGTCCTATCAGCTCGGCAACGGCGCCGGAAGCAGGATGTTCGCAACGAGTTCCAACACTCAGAGAAACGAAAGCAATTACAATCAAAACTCGAACGTCGTCGGCAACACGTGGGTATGGCGAGTAGGTGACAAATGTATGGCTAAGTATTGGGAAGACAACAGGGTACCTATCATCTTTATTACTGCACGATTTGCATGTTACTTTACACACGACGCCCACCCATTCAATTTCCTCTTGCGCCAAATTTATAGTATTACAATGCCGAGGTCACCGGCGTCTCCGAGAGGACTTGCGTGGTGCAATTCAAGGGGTTCGAGAACTACGAGGAAGTGCTACAAGTTGATTGTATACCAATAACGGACGACGTATGTAAACAACAAGTGTAAATTGTGCACGCAACGTTATATTTCTTTTTGTTTTTTTAATTGTTCACTCTCGTGTTAGTATCAGATTCAGGATCACATCCCGGAAACTAAACGGCACGATCAGCGTTCCAATAATCGGCCGCCTCGATACGATCAAGGTTACAATCACATAAACGGTGAGTGCAGCGATGAGAATCTCGTTTCTTGAAGTATGCGTCGAGTGTGTGCGTTCCGATCGTTTGACTTCAATGATTTCAGCAATTGCAGCGGGTATGGAGTTCCGACGTGGCGGAAGCGGGAACAAGGGTTACAGCAAGAAACGGGGTCAGCACCGAAGCGCGCAGCCAATCTACCAACCGCCGGTGCAGAGAGGTCACAATTCCATGCCGATTAATAGTCAAAACGACAACACTCAGCATAATTCCTTTCTTTAACGTAACTCTAGTCTCTCGTTTTCCTCCTAGCGAAAGTATCTTGTTAAATAACTGAAAAGCCAGAGAGTCGCACACACATGTTGGCGATCTTACGAGTTTGCTACACACTAATCCGGCAGGTTTTAGATGCTGTTGAGATATAGCCGAGTTTGTCGCGCGATTTTCCGTAATAAAAAAAAATAAAAAAAAAAAAAAAAAAGAACCCAACGTGGATCGAAGAATTTCGTCTCACACACACGGCGCGCGAGAAAGCGGAATCAAGAAACATTTCCGCTGTAAAAAAAAACCAAAAAAAAACAAAAAAAAAGTATATCGACTGTGTTCTCTCGAAATATTATACTACTTTGTATATTGTAGCAAAGTTGTGATTCTTATACGATTATTGCAGAACAGAACGATGTCTGTATCTTGTCCATTTAGCTGTAATACTAATAAAAAAAACAAAAAATCTTGTAATATCTAATTTGCCGCGCACGCGATTTCACAGTTTTTTCCTCCAGGCTTTTCCCTCCGATTGTGAAACTTATCCGCAGAGTTTAAAGTTCAACAGCGCGAGAGTAATTAAAAAATGTTTTAATTTTTTGTTTTTTTTTAATTTGTTACTTTTCTCACAACTTCTGCGATGTTATTCTATGTCTCAACCATGTTACATTTTTTTTTATATAAATAAAAAAGTATCAAGAGACTACGCGTCATGTGTATTTCCATCAATCTGACAATTAGTCTCTGTATCTAATCACGAGCTACTATCAAGAGACCGTTCAAACGTATCTCGAATCGAGTCGCATTAATTTCGGTCACGTAAGATGTTCTTCGGTCTCTCTCTCTTCTAAGTGCGTGCGTTGCAAACGAAGAATCGACTGTGAGTCACGATATGTCTTATCGCGGTCTCCTTGAAAATTGGTCGGATATTTTGAGATCGTTTCGCACAATATACTCGCGCGTACTTCCCACGCGAGTCAAAGGATCCGTGCGCAAACACTGCGCGTGATTCGATACTCGCAGCGAGAAACCAAACGGTCACGTGCCGTGAAAGTTTTGCCAGATAAGTCCAAGTACGACGACGACGACGTCGTGTAGAACGGAATATTTCAAGGTCGCCGATCCATGTAACTTGGGTGTCTCTTCGCGCGCAGATCCGCGAGAGGATACTCGCGCGGATGATTGCAGTCGGTTCGTGGACGTGCACGCGCGCGCGCGTTTCTTTTTCTTTCCTCGACTCTTTCTCGTTTTTTCTTTCGGTTGCTACGATAGTTCGTTCGCGGCAACATGGGCGGCAGCAACTGCAAGGCCTTCCGAAGATTCGCCGGCTCGAAGGAATCCGCAACAGGTGCGTGACACGTGCGGGAAGAACGTTGACACGCCCGCTGATAAAAGCGAGGAAAACTCGAAAGAAAAAAAACTTGGACTCTTTTCCCGCTAGTTTTTCTTTTAAAAATTTTTATCCTCATACTCACAAATTTTTTCTCTTAGACCGTCTCTTCTAATTTATAAATTTGAACAAACTTGAACGTAACGCGCGATACAGAATGTGTGACGAGAAAATTTCAAAACCCCGAGCTATCGTTCAAAGACTCGCGTTCTCTCTAATCTCGGGATTTTAATCTCTCTTTTATTTCCCATTTCACTGTTTATAATTATACTTAATTATACACTTCAATCAACGATGGAAAATTACATACGTGGAGTATCAGCGCGATATGACTCACATCGGTGCACAATTGGTATGGTGCAGGACAATGAATACAATAAAAAACCGCATTAGTCGCAAAAGTATAAAATGTCGCTTTTTCTAATGTGGCACAAGGACGCGCCGATCGAAATCGCAGTTCGTCAGTGACTTGCGCGAGAATCGATGCGGCGGTGCGTCAGGACACTTGCGCTCGATAGCAAGTGGACCGTTTCGATGAATGCGATTTTGCGTCGTTTTACGGGTAGGATGTAATGTAGTTTTTTTTCTTCGTTCAAGTCTTACGATTCTATCTTATTGCGTTCCATTCAATTCATTCGCGTGTTTTTATTCGAGACCGCGCGTTTGTAACACGTGTTCGACGCGTCACAAAAAAACTGCGACGACGAATTCGAACGACAATAAAAATAACAATTGGGAAAATAAATAATAACAATCGAGAAAACAATCGCGTTCCGCGTGTTATTTACAATCAAAAGCTAAACGTCGCGCGGCGGAGGATAGTGTCTTTTTTTTTTTTTTTATTTGTTACTAAACTTTGCACCACTTCGCGTCAAGGTCGTCAAGATGCTTGCTCAACAAAGCGTTCTTCTCGTGAGCGAGACGCTTTGACAGGAGGCACGAAATCGCGTTAATTTGTAAACGACGACATCAGATACCGCCTATCTCTCTGACGAATTGTTCGTTTTATCTCTCGCGAGGAAACTCACGTAAGAATTATCGCGAGATTTTTGCGTGTTATATCGCTGATAACCTATATCGGACAGTAGCTTTTTGATCTTCCGCGTTCTGCGAAATGACAACAACGGGGAAATACCGGCGTCTCTCTCGTTCTTTAAAACGCTCGTTGTTGCGTCAGATTACGTAATTCATGCGAAGTCACAAATTTAAAAAACTCGTTTGTTGATTTAAAATTATCGTTTATGTAAAGGTAATGTTTCCGATCCTCAACTCTTATCTGCCAATATTCTTTGAAATACGAACAAACAAACGCGTAAAGAGTAAACTTCATTTGCGATAGGATAGGTTAATGTGTAAACATTGGAAAAATGATTAAAAAAGTGACACAACGTCGAAACTAAATGATCTTGTCTCTTGTGTGCGCACCAGGTCTTACAACAGACCAGCAGGACTATGTCGAAGGTGTGGTGTGCAAGCAGGAGGATATCAACGAGAATGAAATGAAGCTGCTACCTCTCGGTGACGACGAGGGAAAGGTCCTGCTGGTGAAGCAGAAGGGACAGTTGCACGCGATTGGTACCAAGTGCACGCATTACGGAGCTCTGCTGCACACAGGCGCACTGGGAGAGGGACGAGTCAGATGTCCGTGGCACGGCGCGTGTTTCAACATCAAGACCGGGGACATTGAGGACTATCCGGGTTTGGATTCTTTGCCGTGTTACAAGGTGCTCGAGAGAGTCTTGCGAAACTCGGAGAGTTTGTTTTTTTTTTTGTTTCTGCGTCTCACTGTCTTTTTTCTGAACACGCTTCTTTACTTTGACGCAGGTGTCTGTGGACGATGCCGGGCTTGTTCACGTGAAGGCCAGACGCAAGGATCTGGAGACCAACCGACGCTTGAAGGACATGTCCCCGTATAATTCTGATAACGCGAAAACGGTTGTGATAATCGGCGGAGGACCGGCGGGCGCGACCTGCGCGGAGAGTTTGCGACAGGAAGGTTTCACGGGTCGCGTCGTTATGGTGTGCCGAGAAGACGTTGTGCCGTACGATCGAATAAAAGTGTCCAAGGATCTCAACTTCGACGTTCACAAATCGGCGTTGCGACAGCCCACATTTTACGACGAGCACCACATCGAGACGAAGCTCGGTGTGGAAGCTACAGGTGCGAGAAACGATGGTTTGATGTTGTTTGCGCGAGCGACACCAATTACACACGCATCAATGACTGACTTTTCAGGTCTGGACACGGCGCAAAATGTCGTCAAACTGAGCAACAACGAGAACTTGAAGTACGATCACTTGTTCATCTGCACGGGAAGCAAGCCGAGGATGCCAACTGTGCCCGGGTGCGATCTGTCGAATATCTTCGTGCTTCGTAATTACACCGATTCGCGAGGAGTTTACTCGCTGCTGTCCCCGGAGAAGCACGTGGTCGTGTTGGGATTGAGCTTCATCGGAATGGAAGCGGCGGCTTATTGCGTCGACAAGTGCGCGTCCGTCACGGTGGTAGGACGGGACACCGTGCCTCTCAGATCGATATTCGGCGTGGATATCGGCGACAGGATCAGAAAAGAGCACGAGACCAAAGGTGCGAAATTGTTGAACATAAATGTTCAAGCAGATAATATGGAATATTTTTTTATACACAATAAGAATATGCTTCTTTTCACAGGCGTGAAGTTTATATTTCGGAATAACATCAAGCAATTCATTTCGAGAGAAGGCGAGACCGTCGTGGCCAAGGTCGAGCTTACGGACGGTCAGATCTTGTCGGCGGATATAGCCATCGTTGGAATAGGATCTACCTTTTACACAGATTGGATGAAAGACTCGTCCGTCGGAATGAGGGATGACGGTACTGTAGTAGTGGACAAGGTATGGAGAGCATCTTCTCTAACGCACGTGTTCTTTCGACGATCAAGAATCATCTCAACGTAACGTTACGTTGCAGCACTTGAGGACAAATGTGACTAATGTGTACGCCGGTGGTGATATAGCCTACGCACCGATATACGGATCTGACGATGTACTAGCCGCAATAGGTCATTATCCGTTGGCTCACTATCACGGTAAGATCGCCGCTTCGAACATATGCGGCAAAGAGACTGCTCTGAGGGCCGTGCCGTTCTTCTGGACGAATTTGTTCGGCAGGAACTACAGATACGCGGGTAAATTTGGAGAAATACCGACTTTAAAACACTTTAAACGGTTGTCGCGCGTCGTTCTCGATCAATTTTCTCGCTTGGATTTTTCAGGCTACGGAAAGCCCACCAGCATGAAGATCCACGGCTCGCTAGAAAAACTAGAGTTCTTCGCTTATTACCTGAAAGACGGCAAAGTGATAGGAATGAGCAGCGTCAACGCCGATCCCGTCGCCGCGGATTTCGCGAACACGCTGTACGAGGGAAGGACGTTAACTGAAGAGGAGATTAACAAAGATCCATTCGGTTGGATGACAAACAAACCAAAGGATGCGTCAAAGCGATTTCAAGAGAATGTTCTGGTGAACGTGCAGGCTTGAACTGTCACCCAGTGAAGTAATATCAAGACAACTTGGTATTGAGGAACAATGCACGTTGTGTTGTTCAAACTTTTGCTTCGCGTCTTTGTAAATTTTTGATGTAACTTAGTGAATACATTCGTATAATATACACATAAAACAAATGTTTCAAATAAGATGATGTTTCTTCTATATTTGAAATATTCTGTAACGCACTCAAAACATTCTGTAACGAACACGATCGATGAGACATACACGTTTGTAGATAGAAAAAAAAAAAAAAAACAAATAATATCCTCATATTTAACTAACATTTCGTACCGCATACATTGGAACCCACGTCTTAATCCCACCCTTCCGTAATTCTCAAGTGACGAAGTTGTTCGGCGATGGTATATTGTTTCTCAAATTTCTCGTTCCTTTCGTTGTACTTTAACTCCAAAAAATTTGATTTTCTGTTGACATGGGACATGTGACTTTTTTCTTGTTCAATTGTAAGATAAGGATGTCGCAGTATCAGCATGTTTTTCTCTTCTCTCTCGAAATCCTGTCTCATCTGAAGCAAGTCCTTCATCGACGGTTTCTTAACTATGCGATATTTTCTGTCGTGAAACATACAAGAACGTGTAACAAATTTTACGCAAATGCCAATGAAAGTGCAGAGAAAAACTATTTTTTACAACGAACAACATAAGAGATATGTCACGTTTTGTATAAAATATATAAAAAAAAAAAAGAATACTCACCCTCTAAACCTATACGGCAGTTTGTTAGTAAACCTGCACAAAATTTGCGTAAGTTGCATTGTGCGCGTAAATTGAAAATTCTATCACGCGAATCGGATTAACGTATCAATATTTTCAATTTTAATTGTGGAAACAATCAGAGAGAAGTCGAATTGCAATTTTTTGGTTATGCGGTACTCGCTGTGAGCTCGCCTGTGATTGGCCAGTCCGCCGCCTACTGTTTTTAGGTCGGACACGCACGAAAGAAACAGCGGGCGAATCGATTTTAATAATCGCAAGCGAGTAGGTAAATTGATAAAAATTCACAAATATGTTTAATCTCAACAAAATGAAGCGGCTCTCAAACAAGATATATGTAACAATTAATCAAAGATATATGTAGATCTAAAGAACTAAGAAGGGAAATTATTTTTCATAATAATATATTATAAAAAGATATAGATATTACATGAATGTCAAGTCTCTCCTCTTTCTCCGATAATCTATCGAAGATACATATATCGGACAAATAACTTTCTTAACATCTTGTTTCTCACAGCAGTGAGAGAAGCGAGCAACTCTATTTATAATCTTAACGTATAATAAAGTTTATAAATCACGTACGCGACTTGTTGATCAATCTTTCTCTCTCCCGTGTTTACATTCAAATCATATATAAATTTACTCAAGTCATGTTTAAAAATAAAATCGGAAAGAGCGGAAACAACAAATTTTTTTCGTTTGACGCGTGACAGAACATAAAAATAATAGGAAGAGAGAGAGAGAGAGAGAGAGGAGAGAGAGAGAGAGAAGAGTAGGATCTTTTATTATCAACATTATTAATACAGTGAAACATGGTATTATAATACAATAAAATAGTGCCGTTTTACAATAAATCGCTGTAAAGCATCTTTTTTCTTATGCGTTACGTAGTTTTTGCGTCGGAATCCTTGTATTGTAGTTTGATCTCGCTCCCATTTTTTTTCTCACAGCGATATGTACTCCTTGAGTGTCTCATCAATTTCGGGACTAAGGGTGAGCATCAGCTGATCGAACTGATTGTCCCCCACTATACTTCGGAACGCGATCAACTGATCGGAGATTTCAATAGAAAAAATAGTCTTCTGTGAGTAAAACGATGAGAAACGTAACGAAAAATGATGTGATAACCAAGTCACTCACCTGATTTTGAAACGTATCCTTCAGAGATATACTGTGCACAGGATCGCTGAAAATAAGCTTCTTTTGCCGTTGAGCATGTTCGGTTTCGTAATCTACATCCTCGTACTGCGACGGACTCGGTTGATCGGTAATCATTAACGAACTGGCAATCAGAACCGCATTTTCGTTAATCGTCGCTTGTGTTCGTCAAACGTAAAAATAAAAAATAAAAAAAATTTCGCTCGATAAAATCCGCACGCGGCGCAACTTACTCAACAAGATAGTCTTTGTCGTCATACGCGATGACATCGTTGAGCGTCTCAACGATGTTCGATATTATCCTCGGGAAATACTCGAGAACCGTGGGCGGACTGTTGGCCCCGAGAAGAGAGCAGAGTGCGAGAGCTAGCAATTTGCGCCGTTCGATTTGCGTCACGTTCGGCATTCTCTTAACCCATCCATGTATCAACCTTTCGAGCACGATCTCCTCCCTCGTTTGGGTTCCCCAAGCAATATTCATAATCTGAGCTAGATCGCCGATAACCTGCGAAAGATGATCCCTTATTATTACCGAAGCGACTTCGGACACGATTTTGCCAAGTAGTTTATTTTATCACCTGTACAAAAATATCCCGAGAACCCAGTAAAACTCTAGCGATAATGGAAAGGTTCACGGTCGTGACCATCAGCGACTCTTCGTCACTGTTTACGCTCCTGTAAACAAACAGACCGCGGTGTCAATTACCTCGCGAGTGCGAAAAAAAAAATCCTATCATAATCCCAACACAATCTCGTTTACTTACTCGAATATCTTCGGCAAGCTAGGTTTTATCAACATCGCACCCTGCTGCGGTGATACTTTGAGACAACTTTCGAAGAGACCCAGGGCCATCACTCTGCCTTCGGACCGTAGATCACACAGAAGACTTCTTAGGGTTTCTATCACAACTGAACCTCTTTGAGTGAAGAAATCTTGCGGGCTCAACAACACGTATGCTTGAATTATATACAAACACGTACGCAGGTTCTCCGTGGATTGATCTAAAAGACGAGAGAGAGAGAAAGAGAGAGAGAGAGAGAATGTAATTAAATGCCGAGTCAATGAAAATTGTCATTGCAATTCAAATCAAATGCAGATTATCGCAAACCCAATAATGCCGGCATGTTTCGGAAGAGATCCATTATAGCGGGCGTAGGAGCGGGCGCGTTCTCCAACAGAGCCAACCACAATTCCAGACCGTCTTCTAACAAATAAACGTAGCCATCTTCGTTCAAGTCGCAACTCAGAGCTACGATACCTACAACTAGCGGTTCCAGAGCGACGCTTTCAGAACCCAAAGCCTGTTAACAAAACGCGACAACATTGAGACAACAACAAGATCGTCATCGACGCGCGTGGATAATCAACAGACAAAAATATTTGGTTACAAAATAATTTACCTTCTCCAGATGTATCAGAGTCGACACTATGGCGCATCTCAGCAGATGATGCACTTCGGACTGCTGCCAGAGTTCGGGTAGGTACGAGCTGAGCGCACCGATGTACGGTTTAATGCCACTTCCCACGCGCTCGATGATAAAAGATAGAACGCTCAACACGTGCATCTAACGCATCGAAAATTGTGTAAAGAAAACAATAATACAGAAGAGATGAAATATCGACTGTCTACTCTATGTACTTTGGTGTCGCATTCGTTGACGTCTTTCAGAAGCCCAAACAGCAACGAAAATGTCGGTTCCAGGAAGTAAGCGAATTCCTCCGGATTGAATTGAAAATCGTCGACGGCTTGTCTCAGAGCGTGACTCGCCGCCAAACGAATGCCCAGATCTTCCTCGGGACCCAACGCCTCGATCATCAGCTTGTACAATTCCGGTCTCAATTCCGGGCTCAATTTGATATCTGGAGAAAATCGATGTTAAAAGTTGACGAGCGCGCGACGAGCAATCGTCTGCGCAATAAGATTTTCCACTCACTTGTCCATTGGCCGATCAGCCAGCACACGCGTCTTCTGATAATTCTGTAATTGTTACTCCGAACCTTCAATTCCTCTCTCAAGGTCGTTAAAAACCACTGATCGAAATTCACCTGGTGTTGAAGAATGATCGAATTAATTAATCGTACGTTTTCAAGGTTCTTTTCATTAACGTTGTTGTATTCTTACCTCGTCATACAGATCGAACGCGGCCAGACCAACCGCGCGATAAACCGCGTCTTTTACTAAAATCGCTCGCAAATTTTCAGGATCGACCGGTTGATGATGCTGTTGCATCATATCAACCAGGACTGAGGAGAGAACGTCCCTGAAGTGATGGAAGATGGCCAAAAATAAAGATTCTGTGCAAGGCTGCAACGTAAATGTTCATTCCGTGTGATATATTGCATCTTTTTTTTTTTTTTTAATATAGTTTTATCGATTACTGCACATCTTCAACTGCTCACCTTTAAACTATATTTCCACGATTCTCCGCCATCATCAGCAGCTGAAATAAATATACCGTCTATAAAAAATTTAAATTTCATTTAATCACGAGACAACACATTGCCACTGCTTCGTATTAATCTTGAGAAAAAACGAAAAACAAAAACAAAAAAAAAAAAAAAACAGTTAAAGATACTGATTTACCAAAACTTTCCGGTTGAGTGTCCCACAATTCAAGATCCGCCGGTGTTAAGAGAAAATAATGCGTTACGAGCCTCCTACAAATTTCTGTTAAAATCTCCGGTGTAAAAAATTCTTGTCTCAATTGGCACGCCCTCAATACCAGTGGATCTTTCGTCTCTGTTGAGGAAGATTTCAATTTCGAGAATACTAACGAGAATTGCATCGGCACAAAGCGAGATCGAGATTCGATATAACTCGCCGTGAAAAAAACAAAAAAAAAAAAACAAAAAAAACGTTCTTTTTACCTTCCAATATGTTCCTTTTCCCACTGATAATTTTAGTTGATCTATAATGCGTCGACAGTAAAATGCTCTTTATCAAATTCAGACACTGAATGACAAATCTCTCAAACGCCAATTCCTGGCCAGCCTCTGTAAAACAGTAAAAAACGGAGAACTCCAGGGAAGTCGGTATGAGCTCCACGTAGCAAAACGGATGTTTCTCTAACGCTCCTAATAAAACTTTGGTCAAATGTATTATAAACTTGTTGCACACATCCATCTGCACACCTCTGGAGGCTAACGTTTTTCCTGAAACAATGGAAATGGAATGTTCGAAGGAATCGAAACGCAAACAAGACGAAAAAAAAAAAAAAAAAAAACTATGAAATTTGAAGTAAAAACAAAATAAACAAACGAAGATACTAACGGCATTCGAGGCAGGTTCTTGCGCGTCCAAAGATGATTCTCAGAAACAACATAGCGTCGTCGGATTCCGACGGTTTGGAGAAACCGTTCTCGATCATTTGTCTAAGCATTCTCAACAACAAGAGCGCCTTCTCCAAAGACTCCTGTATCTGACTGGCGTCCGTCCCGTTCGACACCATAATCAGAAAGGATTCCGTGTATGTGTTCCATAGATTTAAAACGAAATTGAAAATTGTCGCGGTCAATTCCCGGAAATATCTCTGACCCTCGACCAAACGTCTGGACGCCAATACCTTCACCACGTGATGCAGAGTCAGCAGCGCCTGGCGCTGCGCCAGAGGATTCTCTCTTCTTACGACTTCCAGCAAAGTGGGTACCAACTCGCCCCATTCTCTGGGACAGTCGTACCTACGTGCAAGAAAAAGAGTGTGTCAAACTCGCTAAAAATGCATTGCACACGTATAAACACGTACACACGTACACACGTACACACACACACACACATACACACATTATTTACCTTGCTATCCTAGAAATGAGGATTGCTAATTGTACAGCTAATGGATTTACAGGTTCTTCAAAATTTCTTAGCAAATGCTGTCGCAGGAAATCCTTCTCCTTGTCCTCAATCGCACTGAAATAAATTCATTGCGTGTTATCACACACATGTAAACAATACACATTTCGAGATGTGCAAAATATTTTCTTCATTGATCGAGCGCTTCTTACTTTGGCGCATTCTTCCTCCAATATCTTTCAACGCCAATCTTTAGATACACTATAGCCATCCATCTAACTTCGACAGCCAAGGAATGATTCGAGAGAACTTCCTGAAAATTTTTGCATCGCAATCAGCTCTGAGATCGCACGTTAATACAATCGCGTGATATAGAAAAAACATTGAAGATAACAAATGGACGTGTGAATGAACATGATCCATGCAACATTCTATGAATTCAAAACGCACATATATATAGAGAATAAAGATTTGCTACGTTAAAATTACATAAACGGTCAAAGCAATCTTACGATCTGGTTTGTTTTTTTCACGCGAAAACTTACATATAAGGCTATGTAGAATCCTTGCTGGGTCTCCCATTGTTTCAGTATCTGTTCCGCAGACTTGAGAACATTGGGATCTTGACTGACAGCCCGCCGTAGTACTTCTATCACTTCGGTATTCATGTCTCCTTATTAAGCAATACATATGTCAATAGATCTACCATGTTCCGCTACGTGTCAACAGAAACATAAAATTTTTTTTTTACGTCGTCGAATGTCTTTCACCCGCAAATCGGTTTGGCGATCGGCTACACTAATCCGTCAATAAAACGCTACGCGCGCAACCACATCGTCGTTGTCCGAATCCTATAAAAGCTTATCAAAGGGCGGAACAAGAACGAACGAACGAACGACGCAGTTCTCGTCGACGAGACGCAGTTCTAACTCTGTCCTCAATAAGGATCGAACCATGTGGTCGCGAAACACAGACCGTTCGTCGCAAACAAGAGTCGCCCGGATAAAAACGGACGCGAAAGAGCACGCGATCGCGAGGGGATCCAAGGGTCTCGCGTGTGTCCTCTCGCGTTACATCATTTCTCGTCAATTACGCGAATTACCGTTTTGTCGTTGCGCGTTCCGGCAACGGGAACGACGACGGGAGATGCCTTCTCTCTCTCTTTCTTCCTTTCTCTCTCTCTCTCTCTGTCGCGCACGCACAACGACGGACGTCCTAACCTGTAACCGCGGAGACGTACGCGCAAGAAAAAACGCAACGGGGGAACGGGACGACAACCGCCGCCGCGATGTCGTGCAACTCGCGTTTCACGGTGTTTGTTTGTTTGTTTTTTTTTTTTTTACCTGTTCCGCTACGATGTCGCAGACTCTCATTACGCGCGTTCCATTCGTCGTTTCCGCGAGAGGGAGAGTATTTACGTGGTAAATCGATACATAACGAAAATCCTCTCCGGCGCGGATCCCTCTCCGTTGTCGTCTGTTCTCTTCCGCGGAATATATCAACGCGCACACATGCGCAAGTCTACTTCTCGCAACACGCGCGTCAATGTCCCACGCGACGTCGGCAACTTTCGCGACGAGATTTTCTTCTTTCTCTCCCGACCGGGATCTCGGTATTACGGGCGATGTGATAACTAACACCGCTGCCGCTGCTAATGCTCTGCTTCTGTTGTTCCTTTTTCTCTCCGCCTTCTTTCTTTCTCACGGCGATAGTGACCAGTGATGAAAGTTTTGGCAGGCTAGCACCAAGGGTGGGAGCCACTGGGAATACGCACACAAGCGAGACCGCCGTCCGTGTGCATGACGTCACACACACGGACGGCGGTCTCGCCTGTGTGCGTATTCCCAGTGGCTCCCACCACCTTGGTGCTCTTGGTGCTAGCCTGCCAAAACTTTCATCACTGATAGTGACAGTTGTCACGCGCGACGGTGGCGTCGATACATATCTCTTCTTGCATCACGCGCTCCGGTGATAAATTTGCGACCGAGTACCAATTTGCGACGCGCAAACCGATCGGCGCCGGTAATTCAATCCCAATCCCTCGTTATTCCGTTTGCAATTTGTAAAAAAAAAAAAAAGTAAATTAATATATTCACCCCCCCCCCCTTTCCACCTTTTTCTCTAGAGAAGAATAAAAACGCGACAAAAAATTAATAATTAAATTAAAGTTTTAATATTCTTTTTGTTTCCCTGATTTTACGAGCTTGCAAGTTCCACATTTGTGAATGATTTTGCAATTTTCACGCACGCGGAGCGCGTCTCTTTGTTGTGAAAATCAATTGGCTAGTACGAGAACAACAAACTCGTAGATAGAACAATATTTGTGAAAACGATCGATCGAACTTGATGCCAAACCGTGAGTTGAAACTTTGATGTATCGCGAGGGGCTACGAGAAATTCGACTTCCACATTCCATTCAAGAAATCTCTCGCAAACACGTTCGATTTGAATCGTCGCGGATATCCGGGGGAGAGACCGGGTGCGTTCAGACAACTCAACGGTTGAGAGATCATCACTTATGATAGGACTATTCTTCAAAATCTGCTGCGGTTCCAAAAGTATGATCCAATCAGAAGTGATTGGGTGCGTTCAGACAACTCAACAGTTGCACAACCGTTGAGAGATAATTACTTCTGATTGGATCATACTTTTGGAACCGCTGCAGATTTTGAAGAATAGTCCTATCATAAGTGATGATCTCTCAACTGTTGAGTTGTCTGAACGCACCCATTATCTCTCAACCGTTGTGCAACTGTTGAGTTGTCTGAACGCACCCACTGACGCTGCTCTCGTGTTGGATTGGCAGTACTGCGGCAGCAGGACTGCCAACCGTTGCCAATGGGAGCGAAAGAGAAGAAGCGGAGAGTGTCGTCTTGTTTCTCTTTTGGTTCGAGTTCTCTTGGCGATAGAACGTTTCCACGATGAAGGTGAGAATCCGTTGATATTTCCGCGATCTCGAGCTTTTTGCACGAAATTGAAATTTTTCGCTACGCGGCGATACGCGCTGAAAACCGTGTCGTTTGTATTTTTGTCGAGAAAACCGCGATTACACCGCGCGCACCGATCGTAAATTTAGCGTTATTTACAATCGAAACGAAACTGGTTGTTTCCTTTCGGTTTTCTAACGTTACATTGCGGTTACATCGTATTTTCGATTGTTGCAATTCGTGAACTTGAGAAATTGCATCGGGAAGAGTAATTTGTTTTTACCCGCATGTGCGCTTTGAAGCACCAAACCCTAACCCCAACTCAACCTCGTTTCNCATCTGAACAATATGCGGACTCTGGTTCTGTTGACAAAAAATCAAAACTTGAAAGAGCGATAATAAAATTCACCACGAGTAGATCTGCTTTGTTTGCGAACAGGTTCTTGGTTCACAACTTCGTCTAGCTTTGAGACATTATCAACGTGTTGGTAGAAATTGATGTACGCAATTCTCTAACGTCGCNCTCCTTTCTCTGTTGCAGCTAAACGTATCGTATCCGGCGACAGGATGCCAAAAGCTCTTCGAAATATCGGATGAGCACAAGTTAAGAATCTTTTACGAAAAGCGAATGGGCGCCGAAATTGAGGCGGATGCGTTAGGAGATGAATGGAAAGGATATGTGGTACGCATATCAGGTGGAAATGACAAGCAAGGATTTCCCATGAAACAGGGTGTCCTTACAAATGGTGAGTTTCGGTAACGCTCTGTTTTCCAAACTAATACAACAGGTTATTTACTTTTTNTTTGAAGAGAAAATTATATTATTTACTTCTCCAGAATTGTAAAAGTAAATAGAAAATTTTCTGTATTTGCAAGTCAATTAACATGATAAATAATTGTCTCTTTAATTTGATGTTTGTTTGCAGGTCGTGTACGTCTATTGCTATCAAAGGGCCATTCTTGCTATAGACCACGACGCGACGGCGAAAGGAAGAGAAAATCTGTTCGCGGTTGCATTGTGGACTCTAATTTATCGGTACTCGCTCTCGTTATAGTACGCAAGGGACAACAGGTACGGTTGCGATATGTACAAATTTTTACAATGTTTTTACAAGCGACCCCATGTTGTTCAGGGTGTATTCAAGAATTGTCTAAATTGTCTTGGAATACTATTGTTTGCATGGGAGATTAAAATCGTTTTTTATTTGGGAAATGGCGATTTTCAAAAATCTACGACATTTCTCAGTGTACGAACGAGACAATTTCTTTTTATTCTCATCAGTAATTTGTCTTGGATTTTGAAGATGCATTTGATACTCTGTGATATAAACTACAAAAAAATATGTGAAGAACTTGTATCAATATAAAAGAACCCCTAGCTAATAATATTTATTGTTGCAGGAAATACCGGGTCTGACNGACATGAACGTTCCGCGTCGTCTAGGACCCAAGAGAGCAAGCAAGATTCGCAAGCTCTTTAATTTAACTAAAAAGGACGACGTACGACAGTTCGTCGTTAAACGTCCAGTTCAAAAAGAAGGAAAAAAGGAGCGTCTAAAGGCTCCGAAAATCCAGCGATTGATAACTCCCATTGTTCTTCAGGTGCGTGGTTTTTCTCAATCAAGGGAGAAACCAACAAGAGAGTTTAAAGATTTATTGAAATCGTGAAAAACTTGAATTATATTGTTGTTGAATTAAGTATCAAACTTGTCTTCGAAAACGTAATGTGAAAATTTATTTTGTATTTCTGTGCAGAGAAAACGTCACAGATTGGCGCTGAAGAAGAAGCGTTGCTTGGCTCGCAAGGAACAAGCCGCGGAGTACGCGAAATTGCTGGCGCAAAGACAAAAGGAGGCGAAGAACAGACGACAGGAGGAACTCAAACGTAGGCGCAGCGCCTCCATGAGGGACTCCAAGTCCTCCAGCCAGTCGGCACCCACACAACAGTAAATCTGAAAATTCTGCAAAAATTCATAATATACATAATAAAAAAATATATAAAAATAAAACATCAACCGAGTGTTCTCGCTTCTCTTTCTGCCTTTCGTCCTTGTCCTACGACACATCTGTGAATCGATCCCGAGTCTTTGTTGCTCTTTCTCTTCGAATGGTAAGATCGAAATGTTGCAAAACAAATGCGTACTCTGACGTGAAGAAAGTCAACTTGCGAGGTTGGTACGCGCGTCGACACTGACCTCTTCAGGGATCATTTTCAATCTGCGGCTCGTTGAAACGCGGAAAGGGAACAAATTAACGTTGCACAAGTTCCATACGTGCGCGAAAGGGACGTTTTCTTTTTTTTTTTTTTTTTATATATTTGTTGACATTCGAGACATTCGTTGGGAGATCGGGTGGGCATTTTTTCTCATAACGGTCATTCGCGAAGTGACGAAACAAACGAGGATCGGTTCAAACTTGGCTCACCACCCCGACCTTCCCGCCATCGCACTTCGGTCCGCCAAAATAAATTGCAAGATCGACGCGGACCAATTAAGTTACTTCAAAAACGTGCGAGGCTCGTCCGGCGGATCTTCCCCCTCGCGAGATTCCTTCGCACGATCAAATCGAATCTTCTCTCGCCGCTGGACCGGAACTCGTTTAACTTCGAACACACACAGAGGTACGCATTTTCTCACTTTGTGCACTTGTCTTCTCGCGCCGCAAATCTCCGGTCAAAATAATCGGCTCGCGTTGCACGAGTGTTTCGCGTTTAGTCGGGGCGACGGACTTTCTTAACCTTTTGTTTGCGCGACAACAAAGAGGTAATGTTCGTATTTCAATTATTTCTCCTTGCTCGGTTGTAAATTTCCGGGAAGTTGTCACGTCACGTTCGGAGCGAAGAGTCTCGTCTCGCCAAGATGGACGTGTGTATCAAAATAATAAACAAACGCGCGGGACCACACGTTGTGAAAGTGCAACGTTAAACTTGTAATCGTCAAAATTTGACACGCACTTTCCGGACAACTTCGGGATTCGCGACAGCTGATCGTCCCTGGGTTACCGTGTCTTGTAGGAAAATATCTCGGACACTTCGTGAAAAAATTAATTTCAACATTGAGAAAAAAACCTGCGACTCGCAAGTTTATACAAATTGTTTTGCTTCTGCGAATTAGTAATTTTTATTCTTCTTCAACTTTTGTAACCGCTAAAAAACTACTACAACCACTTAAAAATCCAGGACGGTCCGTGTCAATCCCGTCTGGTAACCCTATGGTCCTCGGAACGCAACAATCATGTCGGCGATCGAGGAGGCAAGGAAAATCGTAGGGAAACAGAGATCCGTGGGTTTCGCGACGGAGAGCAAAAAGACCCGCACGCCGCCTCGCTTCCTCAGTCACACCCAGTCCTCGCTGATGAAGATGAGAACGCCGATCAATCTGAAGAAGAAATTGTCGTCCGCGATTAAGGACAGGGAATCGCGCAGCTGCGTTTTCAAGAGACGAAGCGGACGAGTCAGACAGCGAAGCAGAAGCGTGCTGGCGCTGAAGATGATCCTGGACCAGCATCATCGCGCGACCCGTCGCTCTCTGTCGGGCGACGTGCTGACGGAAACGACTCGGCCCCAGTCGAAACGATACACCGATAATTTTCTCGTTTCCCTTGAGAACGATCTTATCAAGGATATTTCCAATATCATTAAGTGCGCGAGAAGTCCGATCAAGTTGGCGTCGAGAATCGTCGGTCGGTCTGAGGCGCGCGCTGAGGATTCGAACGATTCGCTCGACGTCACGTGCTCGCTGTCGCTCTCGTCCGTGTCCGTTCGCGAAGAACTGGATTCTAACAGTGTCCGCGATTTTTCCGAAGACAGCACGGTCGTAGCGAGCGGATCTCGGTCCGACGAGGAGATTATCGAGGAGAAAGAATCCGCTAGGTCTTCTGGGGATGTCGATGTTTCGAAACAAATTGACGCGTTTAAACACGAGGACAACGAGGAGCCCCGGACTCTTCCGAACCGCGAAGAAGCGCCGTCGAGCACGTCGTTGCAAACCGACGAGATCAAAGTTCTTCACCGAAGGTCGAGTCACAGAAGATTCAGAGAAACCGATTCCTCGAACGAGAACAACATCGAGACTCAAGTGTGTCGGCAAACCACGACGAATCGCAAATACACACGAAGAATTTGGAAGAAGAGAAAAGCCAAGAACGAGGAGACCGAATTTAAAACCGGCTCGCAAAATTCGACGAACTCGACAATCGCAAGACAGATCGACAACTCGCAGGATACGAGAGCGAACAACAGCGACGCGAAGTCCGCGCGGAGGAGGGACGGTCAGAGGAAGTTTAATAATTTCGCCAATCGGCGAGCTTGGCGACCGGCCGGAATCGGCAAGTACTCGAACGCGGAGAACACGGCGTCTTCGACGCAGGTGGCGTCGCAGAAGTCGTCTCGTTCGATGGAAAAGCCCGTCGCTCCGATGAGGAACAAACATTCGTCCGTGGAACAAGTCGAGTAATATTCTTTGTTTTTTTTTTTTTGTTAATTAATCAATTAATTTTTTATACTTAAGAGTTTTGAAAAATTTTGGGGATCGAATGTGAATTGGATTTGCGCGTTCACAATATTCGCATTCGGTCGATTTTCAGGTCGTTCGATAGCGGATCTACAAACGCATCGATGTCCGCGAGCCAGTCCAAGATGTTGAAAGAAAATCGAGACCCGGGAAGAGAAGCGAGGGAGCAACACGATCAGCAAAAGAAAGGACTGCAAAAACGAAAACGATGGACGTGGAAGGTCCCAAACGACTCGGGCAAGGATAACGAGGTCGGTTCGAGATGGCAACATTGGCGATCGTTCACGCCGCGATCCCCGAAGGACTCGAACGACAACGAACAAAACTTCTCCGAGTCCGTCAAGATCCGCGGCAGAAGAACGAGGCCCACCGAGATGATCAACGCGTTGAAGGAGATTATCAACAGCGTAAGTGACGACGAAGATGCGAGGGAGAACGTCGCGAGCGCTTCCGATACTGACGTCTTCCAAAAGATCGACAACGAAACGCCACCGAGTCGTGACGCGGAAATGCCGATCGACGATCTCGCGACAACCGGCGACTCGAACGAAGCGGAGACCACCCGATCGTGCGAACGATCATCTTGCAAGTCGATCGGCACGCAGACCGAATCGAATACCCTTTCGCGTGGCGATCTCGAAACGGACGTCGATTCCGAGAAAATTTCGAAACAGACTCGAACTGTCGCAGCGCAGACGTCGCCGTGCGGCAAAACCGAGACCGGATGCAACACGACGTCGTACGGCGACATTTGTCGAGACGCGGAAGTTTCTTGCGACCTGATAGGCTCCTCAAACGTGAGGGCAACCGTCGCGATCGAGAAAGCATCGAACGAGTCGGAGAACAATGCGATTCACGTTACAAACATCTACGATTCCGATAACGTTTACGACGTTACCATCGTCGATCCCGACTCGCCACTTTACGACAGTTCGAATCCGTCAGATAGCGACATTCGGAACGACGTCGTACGCGAAGAAACGGAGAACGTACTGTCGGACGATCTGATCGAGAACATGAAGATGATCTTCGAGCTCGCGGCGGAACGCGCGCGCAATCTTCGCGAGGCCGTTGTTATTTATTACGAGAGTCTGATGTCGCGCGAAGATCAAAACGAGGAAATTCGATACGACGAAGAACCGTCGCGGGATCATCGTTATCGTCTCGAGAGATGCGCTTCTTTCACGAGTTCCGCGAGTGTGGAGGAGATCGGAGACTCCGACGGGGAGCGTTTCGTCGCGAGCGACGACGATTTCGACGACGGACGTTCTTCGAGCAGCGCCAGTTCGGGACAGACTTTCGTGTCCGTGATTCGAAACTCGAGAGCCAACGTGCAAATCATCGACCGAGATGATGGAAACGCGAGATCGAGTCTGAACGAATCTCTCGAAGGTTCGAAGTCGCTGATGCGACTGGTTTGTCGTCGCACGCGGAAGGAACACGCGCTCGAGTTATTACAATTCGGAAACGACGGGGAAAACTTGGGGAAAGAGATGAAAATTCTGACGCTTCCCGTGACGGAGAAACCGTCGATTCTCACGCGCGAGAATCTGCTTCCGCTCGTCTGCTGCGCTCTGTGCACCGTGGTGGTTTGGTGGCTGCAATTTTTGTTCCGATGCCACTCCGACAAGTAACAATCTTCGCGAAGTTTCAGTTGCAGCAGCGCGACAAGATTGCTCGTTGATTTTACATTCCGACATTTTTCTTTTTCGTTATTCCGTGTTACATTTTTTTATTTCAGAAAAACTGTGTGTTTTTTTTTTTATGTTTTGTATATTCTCAAAGTAATATGTACTCATTATCTCTGTTGACTTCTTTTTAAATCACATCTATTTATTTTAGTTGTTTTGCGTTATATAAAAATATAAACTTACGAATGTAGAAAAAAGCGCATTGCGAGGAAGAATCTCGCTTATAAAATGTTTATGTGTATAATAAAAAAAAAATAAAAATAAAAATAAAGGATTTGCCGTGGAAGGAGAGGCGAATTTCTTATGTTTTATGTTCTGTTACGCTTCGATATCTTTGCGTTTAAGTTTCCGATTTTAAATCGGTTTGTTTTTATCTCGCACTTCGTTCGCTCTCGACACTTTTTATTGTACGCGAGAACGTATTATCTCTAATCCTACTGATAATAATTAAAACTGTTGCAGATTGCTCGTTAAAATGTGCGAGAATCTGCTTTTGTCATTTGCGCATTTATCTGAGAAGAAATATAGAGCTAAAATATTTTTCAGTATTCAACGACGATTCGAACGCGCGACTTTGAACACGCGCTCTGAACTAAAAAACAAAGTGAGTTTGATTAATTGATGAGCAGCTGGGCCCGTTCACTCGGCCTCGAGGACGTCCACGGTTGCGCAACCGGTGATGTCGACCAGCTCCTTCGATGTGAAAGTGGCGATTATCTTCTGCTCGCCGGGCTTCTGCGGCACGAGCTGATGCTCCACGTAGACGTCCTCCTCAGGACCGACGTTTCTGAAGGACAGAGTCTTGTTTCTGGAGAGACCCGGTCCGGCGTAATTGAACTGGCAGTTCGTCAGGGTCCTCTTCAGCGGATTCTTGAAGCTCAGCGTGATGGTCGACGGCTTCCCAACCATTGGTTCGTCTTCGATCTACGTGGTGTTCAACGTGGTGTGTTCGCAATTTGATTATTTAATTATAATTTGACAAAAGTTCTTTTTTTTTTTTAATATACACGACGTGTAAATACATACGGTTTTATTACTTAATAAATTTATGTATACCTTGACCTCGATGTTCGGTTTCAAAACCTGAAAATCGTCCTCGTCCGCCCAGGTCTGTCGAGTTTCTTTGACCGTCGCGATGCAGTACAGCTTCATGATGCAGTACTCGACCAGTTTGTCCAAGTAATCGTTCACGGTCACCGTGAGCCTCAACTGTTCGACTGCAATCGATCGTTGTTTAAATTTATCGTCACTGATTATGCGGGAAACGCGCGCCGGTTTATTCGAAACAATTACCGCGAGGAAACCAGATAACGACGCGGTAATAAAAGCTGCGTAGTAGTTTCTTCCTCATTCGCTCAATGAATTTTTCATTATCTTATCGCGCAAAAAAATCCGGCGGCGAAATCAGTCGGAGAAGTCAATCAATCGACAATGTTTCTCGCGTGATTCAAATGCCGTATTTGCTGAATGCCAGGAATAGTTTCTATTCTACCGCGATTACTCAATTATCGAAGTACAACTCACGATTGTTTAACAAATAACATCGAATTATTCACTTAAATACAAAATTGTCGATTAAAACGCTAAAAGAGAGGATTTTTCACAGCGACGATTAGTAAGCTCGTCTTACCGGCCTTTGGTCGGAGAACGAAATCGCCGGACGCTCTCTTCACCAGATTCGCTTTGACTCCGGTATAGTAAACGCTGCCGGCGGACAGGATCGCCTGAATGGTGCGCGTTTCATCGGACTTGTTTTCGACCTTCACGGTCACGGCGAACGGCTCGCCGATGTTGACGCGTTCGAGTTCCACGAGATCGAACTCGACGTCCTCCTTGCCCGGCGACGGCAGCGAGTAGAATCTCTTCGCCATCTCGGTGCTGCGCACCGCCCTGAACAAGGTCAGTCTCTCGGCCTCGGTGCCTGAAACATCGACGTTAGTAAACGCGTCACGCTCAGGTAAATAATCCAATAAATAAGAGCCGTTGAAAAGCGGATTAAATGACGCATCGCTTTACCTTCCTTGGCCTTGTAGATCGACGTTATGTCCTGCCTGTCCTTGTCTCCGTTCGGATCGAAGATCCACGGGGCCTTCGTTAGAATCATCCGCCCGATGCTGCGAAGACAATCGTCGCAATTCGTTCAGCGTTTTAAAACATGCAACGGCGTAAATGCGATGAAGATTTGAATGCAAATGATTGGATTGTTATAAAAAAAAAAAAAAAAAACACTCAGCGATAACTTTCGCGTTAACTGAGAATTATTATACGAGAGATAATGCGCGCGCGAACAAAATATTATTATACGAGATAATAGGCAACTCATCATCAGGATAAATATCGCGCAGGCGATATTTATTGACTTAAGCGAGTGGACCGTCGAGTTCGTCACTTCTTGCTTGCGCTTCGCGTTATCCTGTCGCCGCGTTGAAGTGCGCGTTGTGAAAATTTTATGCAAATCGCGAGCAAACAGTAGCTTTGCCGCAATCACGAAGAACGTTGCGGTTGCAGGACCGCGAGAGAATTCATTTTCATTATTGATACATTGTCCTGACGTTCTCTCTCTCTCTCTCTCTCTCTCTCTCTATTTTTCTGTGCACTCGCTTTCATATATTTCACGCGTCAGCATGTCATAGTTATTTCCGTCCGCCAATTCGATTGGCGTTACCGATGAATGAAATCATCGCAAAAGAAATATTGTAATGAATAGAAAAATGTTCTTAGGAGGAGACATGTCTGAGATAAATGTGGCCTATAAGTATAAAAAAAAAAAACTTATCTCGCAATAAAAAAATTCAACGATGACGAATTTCGAGTCGAGTGAAAACAAAAAATTTGGAAACTTAATTTGCATTGTAAATTTCTGGAACAAAATTATATAATTTTTTATTACTTAACGTCGCGGCCAGTAGTGTTGTACTCACTGGTACTTGTTGCAGTCGATCTTGGAGTATCCCAGATCGCTCTCGGGATCCTCCTTCCATCTCATCAGATCGGCGTTCACGGACGCGACCATGAAGGTCACGTCGTAGTTGTAGCCAACCGCGCCCTGTTTGATAGCTTCCACCGACGCCGGTCCGCACTGGTAGAAGCTGTCCGATTGTTCCTGAGGAGTGGCGTCGATCGCCTGCCAACCTCCGTAACCCTTGGGAAGATCCGGTCTCGCCATCCACACGTCGTTCCACACGTGGTAGTTCCAGATAGAGTCCTCGCCCATGTAATTGTTCGGATCGTACTCGAGTTCCTCGTTGTTTCTGTCGTAGTAACGATCCACCGACAGCGAGGCGTTGGCGTCGTGAGCCGACACCAGATTGGACACCACCCTCGAGGGGATTCCCAGCGCGCGGCACACCGTGGTGACGACACCGGCGAACACCCAGCACTGGCCGTACTGGACGTCCTTTCCGGTCTCCAGGAACTGCTCCAGAATCGGCACGCTTCCGGTCCAGGCGGCCGGCGCGGTCCCGTCGCCGTACTCGCCGTCCCAGCGACCGGTTATCACGCCCTTGTCATCGTTAGAGTTCACCTAACGGAAGAGGTAAACAAATCACGCTGCTACGTAACAATTGCGTAAACGTTTGTTGTGAACGAAATAAGATAGACGCTTACAATTCTCGAGATGGCCCGAGTTATTCTGACCGGATCGCCCCTAGAAATCGCTTTGATGCCGGATCGCTCGAGCATCAGCTGACAGGCAGGCAGTACGCACGCGTCGAACTGGCCGAAGACCCATTCTCTACCGCGCGAACTACCCCAGGGACCTACCCATATCTTCCCGACGTCGTTGAGAATGTATTCGTCCAGCAGCTGCTCGTCCTCCATGTACACCAAGTCCTCTGTGTGTTCGGTGTCAGATTTTCAAAATTCTTTCGCATTCTTACACACGTGTTACTTAATCGCGCTTTTCGTTCTTCTTACCCTTTATCCACGGATTAAAGAGCAAGTAGATGTCCTTGTCGTAATTGTAAGTGTTCGGCGCCTTTCGTCTGCCCAAGGTGTTGGTCTCCACGTTCAACTGCCACACTCCGACGGGGCTGTCGATCGGGCTGCGAACCTCGACGGAAAGATCGATCCCGTGAGCTCCGATCATTCGAACGCCCCAGGCCTCAAGATCGGTCAAGTAAGCGTCCCGATTGGTGATGGTGTTCACTCCTCGAGTGCCCCTCAACACGTTGGGATTCGGTCCGAAGCTGAAGAGCAACCGGACGATGTCGGTCTCGTCCACGTACTCGCGATTGAATCGCAGAGCCATGTTAAAGGCCTGTCCACGTCGCAGGACGGGAATCGCCGGGTCCCCGTGGACCATCTCGAAGTTGAAGGTGCGATGGGCCTCCGCATTCTCCTTCTCGTACAGATACACTGCCTCCACTACCAGCGGCTCCTCAGACATCTGAAGACGCGGCAGGGTGCGATATATATATAACTTTGCTTGAATCGGATTTTACAGAAGGGCGGAGAAAAATAATTTTTTTCAAATAAGACGAAGTTGAGCGGTACGATTATCTATTTTTTAAATTAAATAAGAATAAAAATTTAAACGCGCACATTTAAAAACTAAATAAATTTTTATTCTTCTAGAAGAGATCGCGAGCTCGTGACCATCCGAAGAAACTATTAATCATGTCAAAGACTTTACACGTAAGTATGAGTCGGTGTACGCATCGATCGCAGCCTCATATTTCGCAGTATTACCCCACGTGGGGTTGCACCTGAATACCAAAACGCGTTTCTAGATCGCGAAACCGAGTAGTAGTCATCCTCGGATCCGTCTTTGATTCACCCGCTAGTGACATTGCGTAAAGGTACGGGAAAAATTCCAAACGCGCAATCCCGCACACGTCCCGTAAAGGGACGATCGATCGTGACCTCGATCGGGCTGATTCAGCGAGTCCGGATCGCGGGTGAAACGCGACCCTGATTTTTCCATCTGGCATTCGTACACGAATACATTCGTCAACAAGTCTCGTCGCGTGTGTATCAGTTGTGTAAAGATAAAACCGATATTCCAGAATACGATCATCCTTATTTGTATTATATATATAAAAAATTGTATTATATATATAAGAAATTGTGCGTTGCGCAAGAAACGGCGCTTCTCTCCGTTTTCTGAAATCGATTTCGATTTTTTTTTTTATCCGCTCCACGATATCTTAATTAATTTTATATCTTATTTAATTTTTATCAATAAATTTCTCTCTATAAATCTGTTTTTGATTATTCACGCAAAAATCAAATCTTGCCATAAAAAATTATCGAAGTGTGAATCCGAAGACGAGCGATGCAAAATTTAATAGTTTTTATATTTCTCTTTCTCTCTCGTTAGTAAAAATAAAAATATACAACTTATATAAACACATGAACAATTGATATATTAACTAAAATAAATTGAAGGAAGATTACAGGTGCATTCTTCAATCTGTGTGAGTGAATAATTTTCAATATAAATTCATACAAACCTTGTGTTGCTTCAAAAAAACTTGCCAACAAAAGAGATCACGGATCAACGCGTCACAATCGATTTACAAGCAAGTTACAACGCGAACGCACTGACGCTCACGTACCGTGTCCTGCCTTTTATATGACGCACAGCTTCCTACGAGTAACCGCAGAGAATCCCCACTTTGCGGCAATAATCGCGTGTAGCTTTTAGATCTTGTAATGAGCGAAAGACGAAGCGATACACTCCACGTAACACATGTGAGGCAGAAAAAAAAAATCGACTATAATTCTATCGCTTATTTATCTGCCGACTTATCAGCTTTCGAGTGAAACGCGCAAACAAACAGATTCAAACGACTTCTACCGAAATCGGAGAGTTTTTTTACATATCGTCTTTTTAAATATTCGAACGCGAGAGAAATTTAAATGTACAAACATTTTTTCTACAAAATCAGTATCTACGAACAGAAATTGAAGTTCTTGTCTCTGCGTATTGTCTTCATTAATTACTTTTCTTAAAAAAGAATATTTATAAATATTTTAAATTTCTAGTTAAATCTGTTAGCATATTTTTTCTATCGCGCACAAAATGAACGACTCAATATTATTTATTTGCCTCCGAGAGGTAAAGTCCCTAATTGGATGATATCTTATCGACAACGCGGCGGTAATTAACTCGATAAACCGCAGATTTTCGTGGGACGTTTGCGGTCAGTTTGCCGATTATTCTCGCGATGAAGGAAATGTAGTACGTGGGAGGAAACGGGAATTTTGTCGGGATGCACATCACGGTCAGTTTGATGTTTTCACAAATTTATTTGCGTTCTGTGTATCGAGCTACACAAATTACGTAGTAAATTATTGGTCTGTAGGTTTTTCTTTTGGATCTCTTTTCCCGCGGCGCGACTTTTATCGCGCGCGCGCACGCGCGCACGCAACAATTGCGAGATCCGATAAATTGCGGGCACATCTCTTCCGTAATTTATCTTCTTTCTTTGCGGCCGCGCAATCTTAACGTCAACAAATATTCCTTACAACTGTGCGCTTCGGATATCGCGTTAAAGGTCTTTTAATATTAAAAAATCTTCACACGATTTTGTCATTTTAGAATAAAACGCGTACGTAAAAAACAAGTTTTTTTTCTAAAAATTATTGAAAAAAATAATCTCGTACCCGAGAGAAGGTTTACACGCACGTGAAAATTAACAGGAAGGATTTTAATTTGATAATGCAAATTAATTTTAATAATATAATTACTAAAATAATTTAAAAGTTTAATTACGTAGTTTTTAATTATACGCATACCGCTCGATTTTTAAATGTCAATTTCAAACTCTTTATCTCGCTCGGGCGAGCACAACCGGACCGAGACCTTTAACTCTCGCGCTCGACGATACACGAAGCGCCCGCGTATATCACTCGAAAATTCTCAATAAATGCCGCCGCGCGTAACACAAACTCGTGTGTATCCTTAATTACACACACGGACTCTCGTGTGTATTGAGCACCCATCTAAAAACATTACGGTAAGGCAAGTAGCAGTCGTACATAAACAAGAACGAGGAATAGGGTACTACAAGACTACGTAATACAACAATTAACTAACGCAACATTCACCTCGGGTTATTTCCAGATCGGGAATTCATCGTCTCTCTGTATATTTCACACATTTGTTTTTTTTTTTTGTTTTTCTCCTCACAATCATTATTGTTATTATCATATTTCACACTTCAGCCGCGGCTTCTCTGCGGACTGCGCAAAACAAAAAAACCGCGCCCCCCTCGTCGATTCAATATCGATCATTAAATTGCAATTACTCGGATCGCGAGAAAACCAACATCGCCAACTAAAACAAAAAAAAAAAAAAAAATCTTCCAAGTGTAAAAACAATTGCGGAAGTGTAAAATTATTATTATCGCGGAAGTCCAAGTTACTCGAGTCTCTAAATTCAATCTTCTCGGAAAAACATAAAATGTGTGCGTAATAAAATATATCGCACGTATTAAATATATTATAAGAATTAATTATTTTTCACATTGAAATTTAGCGATTTTTGCGAAACAAATTTACGTATCTCCGTGTTTAATAGATTTTTATTAAACATTTGTAGGTAACATAAATTACACATAGAAACACATACGTGGAAATTAATATATAAATTATTAGGGGAGATTGGGGCTGGTTGTGACACGGGTAAAAAGTTACAACCTTAAATTAGCGATGAAAAATAAAATTGCAACAACGATGATGTTACTGACGCGTGTGACGCGTGACAGTTGTCGCGTTTGTCTCTTTTTAGCTTTGATGTAGCATTTATTTTTCATCACTAATCAAAGCTTGTAACTTTTTACCCGTGTCACAATCAGCCCCAGTCTCCCCTACATCAAATATAAATTTTTCAAAAAATGAGAAACTTGTAGTTTTTTTCATCATGGGAAATGTTCGCTGCGAGAGGAGGTGGAGAAAGAGTAACTTACAAATTGATGATCGATATTTCACAAATAAGAAATACCTCGCCGCGTCGGCTTTGTGTGTGAAATGATCCCCCAACACATGTTCGATCTTACTTTTCCTCTAGGTAGCAGATATTGTTTTAACACATGGACTCCCTAATATGGCGGGAAAGCTGTGTACGAGCGCACGATAGAAACAAGCGTGTTTTTTGTTTTTTTTTTGTTTTTTAAGGATTTTTTGTCCAATTTTCTCTATCAAATTTGGCACAGGACTTGGCTGTCGCGTTTTTTTTTTTTTTTTCAATTGGCTACGATCCTTCGCAAAACGTTCTCGATGTTCCTCAACATTTTTACGCAAACTTAAAAACCAGAATAGATTTTCTGACGCAGTGAAGTATTTTTATGTTCGTATTTCAATTTCCGAAATTCAAGATTTTAGTTTCGAAAACGTACCTCTCATCGCGTTAAATTTCCGTGCAAAGCAGCTTCGTTAGCAGTTTTATCGTCTCGTCAGACTGAAGTCACGACGATCGATCAGAATCGATCACGTGACAGAAACAAATCGATCTTCGAGATTATCGTTCGATACGCGTGCGCGAGTCGAGGGATCGCAAACACCAAAAACAAAAAAGATATGTGTCGCACACGTCGCAACGTGTGGACGCACCGTGTGGATCGGACCTGTGTTGTACATGTAAAATCTCGTCGAAAACTATTGTTTCCCATCGAAGCTATTCGCGTTCGCGATTAAAAAATCTTCCCGCGCTCGTGCGCTGCACATCTTCTACAAAGAAAACGTGTTTTTTGATCTCGCTTCCGCCTGTTAACGAGCCATTTAAGTCACCGACGACGCGCGCCGGTAAGTCTCTTCTTTTTTTATTTTATGGTCGAACAATCTCTCGGTGACGGATTATCGCATCGAGTCGAGGGCGACTCGAAAAACTGGACGACGTGCAAAAAAAAAGAGGTTATTTCCTCCGTTCTGAACAGAAAAAACCGAGCAATTAAAACGAGTTCTCCCGAATTTACTTTGTGGATCGTGTGTTATCCTCCCGTTCTGTTTCCTCATATACGATACTATATACCCAGTGTGTTCAACGTAATCGATGATGAAAATAACAAAACAATTAACGGTATGTATTTTCAATAGACGATCGAAACCCAAAACAAAAAAGATAATATCGCACAATTAACGCTCGCGCGTGTACATATATGTGTGTACATATATGTCTCTATGTATGTGTGTGTGTGTGTGTGTGTATATGTATATATATCCCACCGATATATAAGTATAAACAACGTATCAACGTAGAAAATAACGTTCAAGAGAATTGTTTTTTTCCTTTCCGTTTCTCTCTCTTTACACTTTTATAAATATAGCTAATTAATAATAACAGCACTTCTCTTTAGATTCCAATATTCGGGCTCGAGGAGAGAGAACGATCGCGCGTATCAATCGCTTTCCTTCTTTCTTTCCGTCTTTCTTTTTTTCTTCTCTTAGAGTAGAAAAAAACGTCGTCTCTGCGCATCTTACATTGCACACATTAGCGAATTTTCTTTTAAGACGGCACACCTCTACGACGACAAAGATTGGCGCAACAAAGAAGACGCGATCGTGCCTCTCCGAGCCGCGCGTTCACGATCCTATTATCACAGTCAATTTCCATCCCCTTCCGCAATAATCTCCCTCTATTGTATAATAACCGCAAATGTAATAACGCATCTCTTTTCGCCTCGAACATCTTCCCTCTCTTTTGTTCCTCTCGAAAAGTGCGACAAGTTCGTTCGTGCGAATGACACATTTCGCGAGCACTTCCGCGCGCGCGCGCGCGCGTCGTTCGTCTCAAAAAACGCGCGGAAATCTCAGATTCGAAACAGACTTTTACCTCTCGTATTTTTAAAACATCGATGTACGTAATTTTTTTGTGGAATAAATAATTTTATTAATATTTCATCGCAAACGGATAAACAAATGTTTTCACTCGCACAAGAAATCTGACGAAGATGAATTTTCTTCTTTCTGGCCAATTCTCGACACGAACGACTGGCGCGCAATCGCCATAAAACTCTAGAAGAAAATTATACTACGTCACCGTTACTTGATAAAAAAAAAAAAAAAAAACAAAAGAAACAAAAACAATCGAGAGCGTGCAGTAGGAACAATCGCATACAGGAGAACGCAAATTTTTCTCACATTCTTCAAGATTCCGTTTGTCGGTTTTTTCTTTTTCGAGCTGCGCAGTTTAACCCTTTCAGTACCGAGTTTAGGCATCGCACAGGCAAGGGACGTCGTTCTCTCTTTGGTGATTCAAGCCGGCTTGTATAGTTCGCGTCAATCGATCGCTATCTCGTCGTTACGAATTCTCGCTTTTCCGCGTGGTACAAATATATGCAAATACGGTAATAAGTTAGACAAAAGTTCATTCTCGTTTTTCACCCTCGTCATTCAAAATTCATCGAAAATCTCTCTTGGTTCTACGCGGTTTGCTTTTACGATTTTACGACTGGGAAAAAAGACAACATCGAGAATCACGTTACGCAAACGCACAAAGTTCGCGTGGAAATTTGTACACCCGTGAGGCGAGTGACACACTTCTCTCGCAAGAAAAGTTTCTCAAAAACTGATTCGTTTTAAACGCGATATCTTCTCGGCCGTCGGTTCTTCAAACTTTTTTTTTTTTTTTAGAAAAAGAGTTGCTTTGCGCGCCCGTTGTTGCTTCGTTATTTACACTTGTGTTGTTTCTGATTTCGCGTTTATAAACGCGACTTAGAACGCCGTAAAATTTGTATCCGTCCTGAGCTGTGTTCGCTCTGCGAACGACACAAAGCCGAAGGGAAAAAATCTTTACCGCAAAAATTGACGATGGCAAGAAGAGACAAAGATGTGAGAATTATCTCGTCGTTATTAAATTTGTTTTTATCGTTATTAAATGCAAATGTATTAAGGCAGGTACTGAAAGAGCTAATGGCGGATATACAAGAAAAGCGAGCTCCTCTGTTACAATATCTCGGTCGATGATCATCTCGTCGCGATGAACTATCGTCTCACGGCGCAACGCTTTACGCGCGCGCGAACTATATCGAGATGATGATTACTCCAATTGTGATGCTATATATAATATACATATACATATATATTATATAGGCTGCGTTCGGTTTTTTACTGACAAAGTGACGTCGCAATAGTTCACCGCCGAAATTTAATTTTTCTCCGCTGTCAGCGCAAGCATTGAAACGTGTAAACAAATAATTATTTTATATATAAATAATAACAATCTCGAAATGTATTTACAGCGTCGGTTGCGAATTCGTTAATATAATTTGTGATATAACGGAAATTCGCAACCAGCACGAAAGTCGGTCTGAACACACTTCGAGATTTTGTAGTTCACATGGCATTTGGTTCACATTCTTGTGATCTATATATATAACGGGAGCGAATTTCACCACACCGCCAATACCGGTAGCTTACATCTTCCGAACGCACCCACTCACACACACAAGTGTCGATCTCTTTTGTTTGTTTTTTTTTTCTTTTTCTGATTATTAATATATATGTATATATAGCAGCGGTGAAATAGAGTAGTGCCCGACTAGCTCGAAATGTATATAATTAACGAACAATTAATCGCGAAATATGCGCATCATGTTTATAATCTATGTCAGTATATATATATATATATATAGATACTTCATATGTATATAACTATATATATAATATGTCTATATACATGTATCATTTTTGTTCATCTTGCTTCTGTCGTCGTACCTCGGGGTAATTAGGTACACACGTGACTAGTTCGAAAAGACCAAACGAAAAAAAAAAAAAGACCGAAAGAAAAAGTAAAACAAAAAAAGCGGAAACCCCCCTTCGCTCGCCGCGCACCTATTCTCGTCGCTTCTTTGTGTTCCTGAGGTATATATTTAGATGTACATGTGTTTTATGTGTGTGTAATATGCGTGTTACAACGCGTGTGCATGTGTCTGTCGAAGCAGCCTACGGATCTGAAAGCGCTCGGATCTAACTCGGCTTTGAGGGCGGCTGCGCGAGGTTCGCTTCGAAAAGTGTTTCACAACGTTTTCCAATAGTAAAAACGGCTGGCCCACCCTCCAGAAACACCCCTTGGAAGTCTAAGTGCGACATTAACACCTATCGGGGAGAGGGGAGGATTATCTGCCCTCGAGAGTCGCCGACAAACAGTCGCGGCGATGACGAAGACAATAAATGAACCGACGACGGGAGGCAGAAAGCGTCGTCGTCGTCGTTCACGAGGCGACGCTGCGCGCGCCGGCAAGACGACGGGGCCTCGTGCTGTTCTCCGACCGAATTGAACTGTAACCCGTTCTCAGGGGCTAACTCGGCGCGTCCTTCGGTTCCACCACACCACCGGTCGGTCCAGTCTCGCTGCCGCTCTGTCCGCTCATCGTCACAAACTGCTGCGATAACGTCTGCAGACTCTGTCGCACCTACACACACAAAAATATCGCTCGTGACAAAGCAAGTGGTGATACATCGCGAACGTAATTAGTTGCTTAGATTGATTTCGATTAGATTCCGACCGCGCACCTGCTTCTTCTACGGTTTATCTTTTAATTCGCAAGATAAAATCCGCACACCTGGCGCGCAAATAAAAGATGACTCATGATTTTCTTTTTATTGATTGATTTTTTCTTTATTGAGCGTAAGTTTTAGAAAAAAAAAAAATTGAAATAAAATATAACATCACACAAAACGAATATAAAAATTTTCGTGAAACTATTCTGTGATAATTCTGTTAATTCGATGAGGATTTCAAGAAACTGTTGTTGTTCAACGGGGACACAAGAGAGTTTACCTTTACTATTTGATCCAGATTCGAGTTGAGATAATGCAACAGTCGATCCTGCGTGAATCGTTCCGGCGAGACGAGGGGATGGTTTAGATAAGCGGTGTGCAGCCTGTCGATCCGCATCATCATTAGATACGCCGATACGTAAAGAGCTGCCAAGAGAGCTACCAGTATCGCTATCACCGTGCCGGGTTTTAATCCTCCAGTAAACAAAGACGTCAGCCTGTCGGACCTGCTCGATGCCAAAGGCTTTGCTGCTAAAATCGCTGCTGTCTCCAGCCTGAAGATAAAAAAATAATTTTTTAACTTTCACAGAACAAGCGAGTATTTGAGCTCAATTTTATGTATTTTATATATAATTTTACCTTATTATATAAAATCAACTTTTACCTGGCGGGCGGCAAAATCGGCCTCGTAAGAGTCACCGGGGACGGGACGTCGTTGCAAACGAGCTTTATCCCTCCCGTTTGATCCGTACCGCTCTCGGACATGCTTGACTCGTCCTCCTCGGGATTCACCTCGGAGTCGTCGACCTGCAGTATGTCCGGCGGCAGCAACACTTTCGTGTCGGTGTCGATCACCGGCAGTGCGTCCGGTATAACGCGCGGCTCCATCGCCGCGTCCCACACCTCCTTCATCAGCTTGTAAGTGGAATCGCGCGAGAGCAACGAGCAGAAAACGTGGCGCTCGTCCTCGGTGGCGACCGCTACCGCGTTCGGTATGATGCGCGCGGTCTTCTCTTTGCTGATCTTCAGCACCGAGACCGTCGGTATCAGCAGCTTCGTCACGTAACCGAATACGTTACTGTAGAAGGCAAAGTAGTTGGGCGTGATGTACAGGTGGCCCTGCAGCAGGATGTCGCCGGCCAGCGCGCAGCTATAATAGTTAAGCACGCGCTCGTCCTCTGCAACCTGATGGCGAAATTTTGAAGACTATGTATTAGGTCGGCACTGCTCTCTTCCATCGCCACGGCGAGAGGCCAAAGAATTTGTGTGTGCGTGTGTGTGTGATTTTTTGGGAGAATTTCATTTTTGATCGCATAAAATATATTCTAAATTAAAAAAAAAAAAAAAAGAAATAATTTGCTAATTCAAGGACTTTATTAGGTTTTTCTGGAAAAAAAACCTCTTTAAATCGAAAGAAAAAAAAATTTTCTCGAGATATTTTCGAAATATTTCAGATTCTATATTTAAAATTCCAGCCACTCGAACTTTGTTTTTTTTTTTTTTTTTAACAAAATGACAATTTGAGATTCTTACTAAGCGCGTTTAATAGAGTTGTCGTTTGGGATTTGCTTGTGATAAACGTTCTTCTCTCAAAAGAGAGACCGCGATTCAGTTTCAACTCAGTATATACGATAAGTTTTTTGTTTGTCAAACATTCCGTCAAACATATCAAAAGAGAGAGAGACGGTCTGTGTTGCTCGCGCTCGGTATTTATCAATTCACGTTACTACACAGCGTGTGTATTACATAAAGTAACGCGCATTGAGCAACCGAATCGAGAGACACTCGGACATATTCCGACATAATATCTCAATTGATGACATTATTTTTGTCGTATTTGAACATGTGGCTTTTTCTGAGACTCTCGTCAACAGATAAGGGGAAGTATTTTTATATTGCACAAAGACGAGGCGTGGATTGACGTGTGTGCGCGCGCGCGTTCTCACATCCTACATCCTTCAAAGATAAAATCTACCGGATAAAAACACAAATCGCGTGACAATGAATCGAGCGAAATACGTTCTTTCTTAATATAAGAAGAAACGGCGACATTTTCAAAATTTATATTTTTTTCTCGAAGTGATTATTCCTCCCTCTCTCATTCTTCCGATACAAATGCGAGCGACAGAAACATTTTAAATATCTTCATTAATTAGATTAACGCTCCCGCGATGAAAAAAAAAAAAAATTATAATGAATTTCCTTTCCGAGAGAAAAAATTCTCCGCAGTAAAAAAAAATCTTTCTTCTACCTGGCTGAAGTGCCTGTGAAATTTCTTTTGCCTTGCGCTGCTGGTAGACGTCGGCGACGACCTCGACGACGATCTGCTAACCTTTGCCGGAGTCTGCGCGCCGCCAGCTGCCATCGATGGTGTGCTCCTACTCAACGGCTTCGAAAGGTGACTGGAAAACAAACGAGAGAGAATACAATGAGATTTTTCCACTTGTGAAAACGAGATGATCGCAGCGCGCGTAGGGCACGATCTTTAATCATTCGCGTATTTAATTTATGGCACCTAAGAAAAATTTGTCGTCGAATTACATCACGTTGTATCGAATGAAACGCGTACGACAGTGCATAGAAAAATAAAAATTGCAAAAGTGTGAAATCACAAATCGGAGATGAATTTTTTTTGCAACGGTGCACCTCTATTCGTACGACACCGATGATTCGTTTAATGATTTGCGCAATCGTACAATCGTACGTGTATGTTATATCTCACAAAACAGGATAAAAAAAACAAAACGTGGGATTAATTTGTCAGACGAAAATAAAATCAATTCGCGAGTTCTATAAGGTCAGATAAGATATTTCCCTTCCTCTTCCCTTCGCTGACGTCACCGGATCTCATTTTATGCCGTCGTTTGAAGTATCTCTTCGCATCTCTCCCATGAAGACAATTATCAGGCTCGAGAAATGGCTCGGATTTAAAGTGTGTTATCAGGCGATGAGGAGAATCTGTTTACGCGCGATCGGATTTCACGTAAGCATGCAAATGGCGAGTCGACATGCGATCCGGAAAACAAAAAAAAAAAAAAAGATTCCGAGCGTTTCCCGAGTGTTGCGCTTTCTGCGAGGGTCTTATATCGAGGAAGCGTTCGCGCGATAACATTGTTGGCGTCGCTGTCTTCCCGCGCGTTGCCAAACTTTTATTCAGCTCTTCGCGGTCATCATCTTAACCCCTTGCGCAACGCATCGAGAGGGTTTTGTGTACATATTGCTGCGTTACATCATTTCCGTGCAGAGAACTCCGTTTACAGAGTTCAAGTTCTGTTCTTCGGTGATAATTACAGCGCGCGATAATTACAAAAACTTCCGAGAATTGAGATACTTTTTAGTTTTTCGATTACTTTGCATTGCGCGACCTCGTTCTTAGCTTTATTCTTGTGGTCGATATATTTTTAAAAATTTATTGAGAAAATTGAAAATATATTCTGACTTTTGATATCGAGGAAATAACAACCTCGGGGGAAGATTAACTCTCCTCTTATCGTTTTAATTATTTATCTTATCCTCGCGCAAAAATGAAAAAATTGAATATTTTATCTTTTTGACAATTACATTGTAAAATTCGTTCAGCGCGATAAGTACAAGATTACAAGATTACAAGATAAGTACAAGATTACAAGATTACAAGATTTTTCTTGTCACTCAAAGTTTCAATAAAATACAACCAAGTGTGAGAACGACTGTGTGTGTACACAGTCGATCGATTTTGTCGAAGAAGATGAAAAGAGCGAGCGACTAACTTTTTCGCCGTGCTACCCTGCTCGGAAGTCGTTCTGGTTCTTTTCCCCAAAATAGCGATGCTCCACAAATCGTTGCCCATCACCTCCACCCGCGTGTGTTTCATTCTTGAATTTTTCGTTGATTTTTCTCGAATCTCGCGCTTCAAAATCTGAGGCCACTTCATATATACGGTCTTCTTCGTTCTTCGTTGTAAATCGCCACTTTGTTTTATTGTCGCTGACGAACCGGTGGCAGAATCTCGCGTATCGTAGAGAGAAATACGCGAGCTCTCTCACCTTCGAATATAATAATTATAATACTCACTACTCAGGAAGTAACGAGAGACAAACAAAATAAAACCAGTTCCTGTTGCGTGTGTAATATTCCAACAATTTATTTATTTTTTTTTTTTTTTCAATTTTCGCGATCGAGATTCAATTGTCGCTTCTTTGAAATAGCGGGAAAAAAATGTCGTCCTTTCAAAAGTGTTCTCCGAGTTCAATCAGTCACTGCGATTCGACGATCGACGGGGTATTACTCGTGAACTCTCGCAAACTCGAGAGTACAGAAAATACTCGAATTGCAAATGAGAGAACGTGTCAAAGGACTAATGAACGACCAACTTTTAAATCGGATTTCTCGGCGATGAATTTCGAGTCGACAGAATTTTTTCCCGTCGGAACGACAAAGTACTCGACGTAGCGCGAGAAGAAGAAGCGTCGCCGATTCATCTCGCCGGTCTTCGCGAATGTAACAATCCACGCGAAGACAATCGACCGTACGATACGCGGCGCGACGCGTAACTGGTGCACATAGAGAGGGCCAGTCCAGAGGCTTAATAATCCGCTGCGAGTGATAACACGTGGGAGACTGTCCGATGTGTCTGTCTGGAGAGAGAAAGCGCGCGCGTCGATCAAAGCGAGAAGGATCGCGCCGGCGGAATCGAAAAAAAATCGGCCGCCGATAACCGACGCAGATGTATTTAATATCACGAGATAAAAAAAAAATAAAACACGAACGGTAGATAGCACGCAAAAACGATAACGCGTCTTCAGGACGCGTTTCTCGAAACTCGCGATATAGAAATCGATAATGCGAGAACAATCTCGCGAAGAACATGCGCGCGAACAACTGAAGATGAATCGAGAACGTCCGCTTCCGGTGTTTAGCAACCGACGATAAGCCTCCGTGATGTGTCACACGTTCGCGCAGTTTCTTTTTTTTCTTTTTTACTGCGGATTCTCCGTCACGATACACATACATATAGTTCGAGCCATTGTGTATGCCGCGATTACAATCTTTATCGGACAGCTGTCAAAACTGACCTCTGACGATTTTTTTTATCAAGCGTTAAAAGCGAATACTTTCACGCAAAATAGCGCGCACAGGGAAGAATGTAAAATTCTACATAGTAGATTGCAGAAAAAGAGAGAGAGAGAGAAAGAGAGAGAAAAAGAACGTGAAGAGACGTGACATGAACAAATTGCTTGTCGTTGTAAATATTACACTTATCGTCTTTGTGTTTTCATCGGCTTCTTCATCGGAGATATCCGATGAAGAAGCCGATCTATCTCCGCGAACAAAATAATACACGCGCGCAGATATTTTCAATTAAAGAAATAAATAAATAACAAACCGATTTTTTGTAAACATCCGGGGAAAAAGAGCACCGTCGATCAGATCATTCGGAGGAAGAGCGCGCGGAGTTTCATATTCTTATGAAAAGATATTTTTTTCCAGCCGAGAGAAGAATTTTTTTTCTAAAAAAAGATGTTTTTTCACAAAGTGATTTTTGTCTTGAAGAATCCTCCGTACGGAATGAAAATAAGATTTCGCGCATTGTACAGAAAACCTTCGCGGATTGTTTCCCCCGAGACAAAAGATTTCTTTTCGTAATCTTATTAAAAAAAACCCCTGTGCTTTGAAAATAAATTTTCGGGATTTAAAGAAAACGACGGTGAATGTCATCGAGAGACGATTCCGATCACAAAAGACGATTTCTCACACAATACACACACACACACACACACACAGATAATATTCGCGTCACGCTTTGTGCCGTAACAAGGAGCCGTTTATGGGGCTGGCACGCACGCGGAGCCATTGTAAAGAATAGCCGCAAAACATTCGCCGCCGTGCGATTGAGTTGTTTTCAAAACACGCATTACCATTACCGCGATGTGATTTAAGCGCTGCAAATGCTGCCGCGCTGCTAAAAACACAAGCGGTGAAATTACGCGGTGTCGAAGATAATTGCACACCGTGCGGGCACCGCGCAGACATTTCCTGCTTAAAGTTAATTTGCAACATTTTATCGCAAAACCGTCTAATGTCTTTTTTTCGCGGCAATTTCTTCCTCCCTCGCGTCGCACCCTCCTCTTCTTACACCGCGTGTGTGTGTCCAGGTGTGACATTATTATCGATAAATTTCGATAGCGCGATGATTTCACCAGGCGGGATATCGAGCGTGGATACTTATATCTCGGAAGTGGAGTTGAAAATATAGAAAGATTCGCGATAACGTTATTAAAAAATATACCGCACGCAAACACACGTCGCGAGATTATTCATCGTTCTCATCGCGGGGCGAGATATCGAAGCTGAAAATAGAACGCGTTTCCGTACGTACGTGTCGATATAAGACGCACATGTCACATGGGGTCGCAAGTGTTTAACAGATTAAATAAAGTTATGCGTGTGTGACGTAACTCGTAACGCGATATTAAATATTTGTGTGCGTGCGTGTGTGTGTGTGTAGCCAATAAGTTGCATTACGTACATTTCCTGTCGTTGGATAATAAAATACTTGCTCGGCTAGTTTGTCTTTTTTTTTTTTTTTTTTTTTTTAAATTAAATTTCTCTACGCGCTATTTTGTAACGAATCAACAAGTTCTGCGAATACGACGAAGAAGCTTATCAATCTGTCGCAGTATAAAACACTTTAATTTATCAGGTGCGCGCCAACGATATATCCAACGTTCAATAAAATTAAAAAAAAAAGATTATCGCAATTCACGAGGTTGAATTTGTTCTTTCTTGAGAACACATGTTGTTAGACGATCGAACGAAGAGGTGCTGCCTCTTAAATATTACAGAGAAATTCGATCGTGTTGAATGCAAGTGCGCGCGGACATGATTGTGTGCATATGCACTTGATTATGCGCCGGATAGAGACGAGGAGAGCTTTGCACATTGCGATCAGAGGGGCAAAACGCCTCACCTGTCGTTACATTTCAAGACCGCGTGGCTGGGGCTTCTCGGAGGTTGCGGATAACTGGCGCCGGCCACGGTGAGTTGGGACCCGCTGATCGATTGCTGACCCGCGGCCTGCGGCGCATCGGGAGCGGGTTGCAAAGGTGTGCTGGGTGCCGAGCGCGCGCCTATGGACCCCGCAGACCTGCGAACAAAAATGATACACGTGGCAATAAAATATAAACGTTTGTTTGAAAAAGTTATAAAAACTTATTGCAAGTTTACAAAATACTTTGTCCTTTAGATAACCGATCATTACATTTGAGACCGTTTTAGAACGGTTCGTTTGCGTGCGAATCAATTTTTCAGATTCCGAGATATAAACTATGTCGACGTAACTAGCACAAAAAAAATTTTAATTTTCAAAATTTTGTTTGCACTGTCTAAAGCTTCTTTGTTTTTATTGTCATAAAAGAGAGACACTTAGACGTATCCATCCATCATTTTTTGATAAAACAACAAGAGTCGCCGATAACTTTTATCGAAACAATTTGTACGTGACACATCAGCTATTTCTGGCAAATACACAACAATTATCGCGGTCTGATAAAATTAATTAAATTGTTGTTTTAATTTTACTTCGCCCGCTCGTGTCGAGTCTTAACGTAAGCGCTGTAGTATTACACACGCGCAGTATATTTCAAATTAACAACATATTTATACAAATCCCGAGGTTCGTTTCTTTCACCAAATGTTTACACACAATTTTTTAACAAGAGAGAAAGAGAGATCGAGTGTTTGCAATCGGGACACTTGAATCTGACAGAAGAGATTAAGAAGATGTCTCTCTCTCTCTGTTTCGTTTTCTCTTTCTATCCGGATAAGACGTACACGCATAAATACACTCTCAAAGAATTCTATCACTCTCGCCCGAGACCGGATGTGTCGCAAATCACGTACCTTGCTCTGGTGATCAGCGGACCGGATGAGAAGCAGAGATCGATCAGCGCTCGTGTTTCAAACTCCATCGTTTGTATTCAAATCGTTATCGTGCTTCGATCGATTCTGATTATCGCTGTAATTTTTCGAGACCGTAATCGTCTATCTTGTAACGTAGCTTCAACGGCGGTTGCCAGTCACAATCGACAATCGACGCGAGCTCACGGAAAATCGATCTGTTCGGGTATTTTATCGAAAAAACAGATGTTCCGAAGCGGAAATATAAATTCGCGGATATATATATATAAAAAAAAAAACATTCACTCACCGCCACGTGTTATCGAAAAAGTCGCGCGAATGTCAGCCACGCGCGATGATTCGGCTCGAGTGTTCGACAACGCGCGCGAGTGGCCGATGTGTGTTATCTCTCGATTAAGCGGCAACGATGGGATTACGCGCCGCAAGTAGGTCCGCCTACTCTCTCTACGCGATAGTTCGTCTATTTTATCGGCTCTTATCGAGTTTGTACAACAGTGAGAAAAAGATATGAACAACGGCAGTTGGTAGTAACGAGTGAAAATAGAGCAGAGGTTATTACGAGTCGAGTTTAGGAACGTTCGCCGACTTCCGCGGAAAACGAGAAGAGGAGACGAGGGAGACAAGAGGTTGGATAGAAAGCGAGCGAGAGAGAAAGAGAGAGAAAGAGAGAGAGAGGAGAGAAAAGTAAAAAAGGAAGGCGTTATTTGAGGAAAAGGAATAGAAAAGCAAAGTCGAACGACGAAGAGGGTGGAAAAAAGATACGCGATGACTAACGAACCAGTTTTGGTCTCTCGCGCCGCGAGAATAACCGCGCCTCACCTCAACGAGCGGGTTCAACGAGCTGGGTTGCCTTTTAACAAGTCGGCCGGAGCCGCAACGATGCACAATGAGGCGAGTACGCGAATAAGCGAACCGAAAGGGGAACTGGACACATACACACACACGTATACACGAAAGGGGAGATGAAGAGGCGCGAAACGAAACTATCGCGAGCTTGACGACAACGACGACGACGGGCTCTTTTCTTTTTTTCTCTTGTCCTAGTAGAAACCGCGCTGATATCGACATTTCCTGAAGAGTCCTCTCTTCGACTGCCGCCACTTGGTGCCGAGCGAGCTCAGAACGAGTCTCGCGAGGAAGAAGACGCTCATCTCGAAGCGGTCCCGATCTCTTCCGGAGGGAAAGGGAAAGACGAAGTGTGTCCGCTTCGGGAATCTCTGCCGAGAGAGCGATCGCGACCGATCCAGCGGTCGATCTTCTCTCTCTTTCTCGCGATCGGGGGAATCCGGAAGATGAAGTCTCGAATAAAGAGATTGATGACTCGGAGAACTTTGCACCGGAGAACGTGGAGGAGAGAGTTTCGATGTGGTGAGAAAGAGAGAAGTTGAAGTGAAAAACTTGACGAGCGCAACGACGAGCCTGTACACTCCGCGGACCAGCCGGGATATTCAGACTGAAGGCTCGCGGAAGGCGTCGCGGCGTCTTACACACATCGCCGCGGCGACCCCGCTGACCTTTTTCATAATTAACGAATCTGTCATGCGCACCTGCGTGTGTAACGCTTGATCGCGTACGTCTATAGTTTCGCGCGCTTGCACGGACTTGTGGTTTCGCGTTATTATTGATAAAAAAAAAAAAACGAGCGTGCTCATTCGATCGATCGAATTTCACGTACGCCCAAACTGAACGAGGAAGAGACGGTGGAAGGTTCAACGGTTCGTTAAAATGCGTAACGAGTTCTCTTCTCCTCGTTTTCCATTGCGAAATGTCGCGACGGATAAATGTCGTATGACATTTTATAAAAATTAAAAAAAAACAAGATAACCGAACGGGTTAATAATTATATTATATAACGAGTATATAACACATATTATATAAAAGTGGATATTTATGCAACACGCACACACATTTGCAATGCGCGACGCATATTTGAAAGAGATATAAGATGATCATTTTAGAAACACATAAATATTTTCGTGACATTTACGTGCCGCGATCGCAATTCGCACGCAATAATTTTGCACACTACGTGACCAAAGAGCGTAACTAACTGTTTAATTGCCGGATGAGCGACAACAGATAAAAAACCGTGAACTCGAAACTTTACACTGGTTGCGTCACACACACACACACGCACACACATAAATGAACATAAACATCAATTCCGGAAAATTGATGCACGCGGAAAAAGGCACGCTCGAGTTTCCCCGTGCGACGCGACACTTCACTGAACCGAGAGACAGAGAGAGAGAGAGAGAGAGAGAGAGAAAAGCGCAAAATATTTCGCCCATTAGTTGGTGTCTGTGCGCCAGGAAGAGAGAAGAATATAAACGCGCGCGGCTCTCGACCGCATTGTCTGGCGATTCTCCAAAAGGTCGGACTGGGTCTCGCTTTTCTCCGTGCAACGTCGATAACGGGGGCACCGAGAGACAGAAAGAGAGAGAGAGAGCAACGTGAATCGCAATATTAGCGGTTTTTTCACGTTTCCTTCACGGTTGAATCTAAAATTGAACGGCAACAATAGCGAAGCCGATCAAAGCCCATTACCCTCGTTAAACGTGCACTAATAATAGTCGCTTGTAAATACGGGAGTCGTCGAAGTAACGAAACCGGGAAGGCGTACAAATATACGCGCGGAACAAAAGATTACAAGAAGGCGCAATTGGAAGTGACAAAAAAAAAAAAAAAAAAAAAAAAAAAAAAAAAAAAAAACACATCTTACAAGGATGCTCATTCAGAAAAAGAATTTTTGATCGGAAGAGAACACATCTGAACTCCATTCACGCCAGGATTTTCTATGCCGTCTTCTGCTAAAAAAAAAAAAAAAAAAATAACGGAAAAATACAACGTCGAAAGTATACAATTTATATAACGCGAATGCTAAAAATAAAAAAAAAAAAATTCATAAGAAAGGAGCGACAATACTACTAAAAATATATGAAATGTTTTTCACGAAATTGTAAACGTACTCAAACGACGGTAAAATAAAATTGCAAAATATGAAAAGTAACTACGCGTATTCCGCATATTTTGTAATTTTGTTCCACTCCTGTGAACGAATAGTTTTTTAAAAATATTTTCAGCGTATTTTTAATGTTAACGTTCAATCGACCCGATCGGGAGCGAAGCTCTCGAAATTAAGTGATACGTTAATCTGCGTTACGAGACAATCTGATTGATCATCTGGCTATACACTTTGCGCTTTGTCGAGTACACGTGCACGTATCTGATTCCAGAGAAAAGTATGCAGATAGCGCAATACCTATTATTATCTTATACCGTGTTACGGTCACGGACGTATTCCAGAATTTAATTGGACTTCCCTCTCTCTTTCTCTCTCTCTCTCTCTCTTTCTCGTCACTTCTCCATATAGCGCGAAATATCGATAAGACGAGATGTCCACTGACGCGTAACGTCGTCCTGTATTATTAAAATGCGCCAGGTGTTGCGCGTGCGATTCTTTTCGAAGGTCGCGGCAAGACGTCACGCGACGCGAAACTTTTGCAAAAGTTTTCACAAACACGACGCTATAACACAACACGACCCGGAAGAGAGAAAGAGATAGAGAGTCCCTTAGATTGGAAGGACTTGTTCCAGGACACTGCGTAACTTGGTGCAGAATTGTCGCAAACATTATATCGATTTGGACTCAATCCGAATGCGTGGTGAGAATCTCGAGAGATTCGACAGATTTTCGGCGATGAAAAGGTTTCAAAGTGATTTTGTACACCTAAAACATTTTTAATCTATAGAGAGAGATATATATATAATTTTTTGCTCCAATAAACAAGATTGATCATAAGTGAAATTGTTTTTTTCCGATGTGGATTTTCATATCTGAAGAAGACACGTTCGAAGTATCACATAATTACATTATATTTATTCAGAACAATCAAATCCGATAGATCTCAACCGATTGTTCGTTTTTCAATCAATCGGAATAAATCCACCGTCGATGTAAACAAAAAAACGAGAGCGCTACTTCGGAGACGTTCTTCTTTTCAAACATTAAAATAAAAATGGATAAAAAAAAAAACAACAAATATATTCCTCTCCGATATTTCTCTGCGCAATCTCTAGGATTAATCTCCGTGTGACGAACCTAATCGAGATAACAAGGCGAAAGAACTTCATTTCGCACGCGGAATACGCGAATGTGCGGAATGCCGTCGTCGTGTGCGTTTCCACAAGGCGAGCGAACGCGATTTGCATATTTACCATTTCGACGATAACGGTCCGATTTCTCGGAGACGCGCGCGCCTGTACGCGTTTACACGCGAGAAATTGCACGCAGGACGCGGTTGTCGCTTTCTAAGCGGTTTTTATTAGCGAAGAAACCGTCGATTCAATTGCGACAGCAAATTACACCGTGTAGCTGCGAAAACACAAAACGAGAGTGTTGATGAGACGCGCTTATCTCTCTTGACCTCTAGCGAGATCAAATTTAAATCAAATTTAATTTCGATGTAATTATATTGAAAAAAACAAATTTAAGCTTCTTTCATTATTTTCAACATAGCTTTTCTCTGTAAATTCCCTTTTTTTTTTACGTATTTTATCAATTTTTTTTCAACTCTAAAGATAGAAATTGATCGTCAATCACCGTCCGTCGTTTTTTGTTTTTATCAGATTAAATTTTCGACTTGATTAATCGTTCCGTCGCGAATTTTCTCACGTTCGAAAGTATTCGATCGCGCGGATTGATTTTGACAATCGTCGTGAAACTGTTTGCTTCAAAAAAAAACAATTCAATCTCTCACTCGGCCCGGCTTAGAAATTGCGCGGTGTATAAACCTCCTTTCTTTACACGCGTGTATGCGTGTGTGATCTTCTCATTAACATGTTTGAAAAAAAAAAAACCAACCCCGAACACACGCGAATACGATCGCGTGGTGCCGGGCAATTAGTCACTGTCGCAAGACAAAAAAAAATGAAATGTTTTTCCATCGAGCAATTTTCACGTGCACGAGCGGTTAGTTTATACGCGCCCACACGTTCTCTTCGCTCGAAACTTCGAAGAGTTATCTTTATCACTGCCGATCGAACGGAAGATATTCGCGAAGTTCGCCCATCTATCAGCCGAGCAAACTTTTGTATTTCGAAAAGGTCATCGCGACGGGGTCAGCGCTAAAAATGCTGCGAATGTCCCCACAAAATTTTTCAGGTTTGAATTTCTCAAGCAGCTCTTCCGATTTGATTTTGTCACCCGATGGTCGTCACGTAAAAATCCCGCGATCATCATGTTTTATTCATCGGTTCTTACGCGTTTCAACCGAAGCTGCAGGCGATTCGACGCGTAAAGATTTTTATCGCTTAACGTCCGGACATTATGGACACAATGATCGGTCGATTAAGTCTGTCTTTCTGTCCGCCGGGGATTTATTAATGTTCGAAAGGAGGACAAAAACACGCGCAAAGAACAGGGTTTATCGCGGGATATTCCGTCGCGACTAAACGCGATTTGCATCGGCGAGCAATCTTCGATGCGGAATCACTCGAGAGCGTCGCAATTTCGATAAAACAGAGATCTCGATCGCGAAGAGCAAAAAAACAAGAAAACTGAGCAAGACAAAATGTTCTCCATGCTAAACTTTTTGATCTCGGCGCGAATACGAGCGAAAAAAAACAAGCGATCGAACGCGTATTCAAAAAAAAAAAAAAAAAAAAAAAAAAAAAAACAGCAGGCAAAGTTGAACGTAGATTTGTTTTTTCGCACAATTTTTTCGAACATGAAAAGAAAACATCGCGCGCACGTCAGACTTAAATATTTATGACACATTACATCAGAAAAAAATAAAGAAGTGATAAAATATGCACGCGAGTATACCATCTCGCTTAATCGAAAGACGTAGTTGTTCATCTAAAAAAAAAAAAAAAAAAAAGAAGAAAAAAGAAAAACCGCAAGACATAAAATATGCAGAACTCGATAACTCGGAAGCTCGCTCCAAGAAATTGTCGAACAAAACGATCGTATCTCTCTCCCGATTATTCCGTTCTAATGTTCCTCCATTTTCGTAATAACGTACTTCGTAATGGCCGGCAGATAAGTTATTACAAAACGACTTCGTATTATCCGGCTTTACGATTTTTGCCGCGCGATTGTCTGTGTGTTTTCCACTTCGGAATGTAATCCACTCTTACGGACGATATATCGCGTTTCGATTTCGAAACCGAGCTGATATCGACACGCTAACGCGAGTTTCCAAGATGGAAATTGCCACCGCAATTGCACGAAGGAACGAAGTAGAGAAGGTTCACTTCAAAGTGCGCGATAAAGAGCAGATAGTGTTACGTATTGACACCGCGGTATCGATCGGACATTTTTTTACAAAGAAGCGGCGAACTCGGTCCGCGTCGGTAAATTGTTATTAAATTAACGCGAATGTTAAAGACGCCGATTTCTCTCCGCGACGAGATCGACGTCGTGACAA